CTAAAACCATCACAATGCAAGTTACAGTAATTAAGCTGTTGTGTTCCCTGTAAACACTATTCATTAAAAAAGATTGAAATAAAAATGTTTTTTTTTATTAGAAATCATTCCTAATAAAGACCACATAGGGGTCATGGGATGCCAGCTGGTAGTTTTTGCTACTCTCTGCCCGGTTTCTTGTTTGTTGCCCCTTCCATCCCCACCTCTCTGATGGCCCTGGCACTACATAGACTGCTCACGAGGCCTGTCTCTTCGGCCTTCATCTCCCCAGCGAAGAAGGAGCCGGAAACGTTGGACTTTCCTGGACGAGCTGAAGTGGAGGGATGTGCTCTCACAGTCATAGTCACAGTCTCACAGTCACAGTCACAGTCACAGTCTCACAGTCATAGTCACAGTCATAGTCACAGTCACAGTCACAGTCATAGTCACAGTCACAGTCACAGTCACAGTCACAATCTCACAGTCTCACAGTCATAGTCACAGTCTCACAGTCACAGTCACAGTCACAGTCACAGTCTCACAGTCACAGTCTCACAGTCACAGTCACAGTCACAATCTCACAGTCACAGTCTCACAGTCACAGTCTCACAGTCATAGTCATAGTCACAGTCACAGTCACAGTCACAGTCTCACAGTCTCACAGTCTCAGTCACAGTCACAGTCTCACAGTCACAGTCATAGTCACAGTCACAGTCACAGTCACAGTCACAGTCACAATCTCACAGTCTCACAGTCACAGTCACAGTCACAGTCACAATCTTACAGTCATAGTCACAGTCACAGTCTCACAGTCATAGTCACAGTCACAGTCTCACAGACTCACAGTCTCACAGTGAAGCAGCAGAAGCTGCTCGTCCAGGCTGAGATCAGGGGCTCAGGGTCCCTGTGTCGAGCTTTCCGAAGGATGGGATCCGGAGATCGATGAGCTACCTGTAACCAGACGGCCAAACTTCACTGCTCTGCCGCTGTGCAAGATGAAGTGGTCCAGCTTGTTACTGCTGTTATATCTTGCCATGAAGAAAGCTGGGCTGCCTCTGATTGTGCTGCTGATAAAACACATCACATACTCTGGTATTGAGATACACTGTTCTTTATGTGCCATGATCCACTTCGGTGCCATTTTATTCAACAGGTAGGGGCTGACATGAACCAATGGATCACTGTTCCCCAATTATCTTTAGGCTTCAGCACTAAAGTGATAAAAATGAAGGAGCCTCCTCACTCAAATTGTTGACTTCTCTTTCTCCCCCAGTAACGGAGGATATGAGGATAGATGGTGTGCTACAATCTCTACACTCACAGGGAAAGGGTAGCAACAGTGTGTCTCATTCTCTATTTGGCAGGGTTCGAGATCCGTGGGACCCGAGCTGTTCCAGACTGGAATTATATTTCTGCTTCTTTGTTCTGCGTTCGCTGTCTGCTTTGAGCGACTGTGATACCCCTGTGTCTTGGGACTTCAGGATTTCATTTATACCAGCTCCCTTTAGTCCTGGTGAATTGCATTTTGGTCCGTAACTACGCCTTTAACTATAATGTGCCACCTACGGGAAAGAGGCATGAATTCCCAGAAAACATGGCATCCCCAACTCCCTAATTTTCCAAATCTCCACCGGGTCTGCTGGGCAGCGGGGGCTGAAGTGGGTCCCCCAGTGTGAAGTGCAGGGGGGGCCTTCACAATGAGAAACACTAAACAACTGCAAGGAATTCAAATGAATGAGAAAATCCAGACAGGAAACACGGGATCTGTAGGTACAGTGTGAACAACTGTCTCTGCTGGATAATAATAATAATTGCTTACACTTCTATAGCGCTTTTCTGGACACTCCACTCAATGCCCTTTACAGGTCATGGGGATCCCATCCACCCCCACCAGTGTTCAGTCCCACCTGGATGATGTGACAGCAGCCAGAGTGCGCCAGAGCGCTCATCACACACCAGCTCTCAGTGTGATGAAGCCAGTTCATAGACGGGAAGTACTAGGAGGTTAAGGAACAAGTGACAGGTTCATTCCATGCTCACAAGAGAAGAAAGAAAACACAAACGTTTCGGCCAAATGAGTGCTGGTTCATGGGCAAGTGCTCTCAGTGGGTGATGTGTGCTTATATGGGCTCAGTGTGACTGCAGGGGGGGAGTAGATTTACAGGTTTCTGGCGCAGTGGTGGGGATTGCTGTAAGGGTGTTGTGACATGAGTATCTCCATTATGGGGCGGAGCAGTGGCATTGCACCTGTGGTTGGAAGGTTGCTGGTTCACATTCCGTGGCTGGCAGAGGAATCCTACTCTGTTGGCCCCCTGAGCAAGGCCCTTAACCCCAACTGCTCCAGGGGTGCTGTACAATGGCTGGCCCTGCGCTCTGACCCCAAGCTTCTCTCCTTATCTGTGTGTCTCATGGAGAGCAAGTTGGGGTCTGCGAAAAGACGAATTCCTAATGCAAGAAAATGTATATGGGCAATACAATGACCTTATCTTATGTAATAGACATGTTTATTTGTACTGTCACATGTCTTGTTAGTTTTTGTGTGTGTGAAACATAGCTTCTTCGATGCCACACCTATTTCTGAGAAGTCAGACAATAAAATACTGTTGTAGCAGTTGTAACAATTGCAAAGTAATGAAAACCAGGGTGCTGGAAAATGACCATTTTCGTAATTTCCTTTGCCTGACCTTACTTTATCAATCCACCCATGTTTGAGCCTGAGCCCAGCCTGTCCGACACAACACCCTGGACAGGACACTGGGGCTCAGACACACCTATGGGTGTTCCCAGACCCCACTTAACCTAAGCAGCATGTCTTTGAGCTGTGAGTGGAAACCCTAGCGTAACTTACAAACTCTACACAAAACACAGACCAAAATCGAACCCGGGACCAAGAGCTGACACTCTACGGTACCACCTACTCTTACCCATGTTCTTAAAACATAATGGCTAGAATTCATAACATTTGACCTTTTTGGGGATCTTTTGTTAAAAGACGGGGGTCTATGTCTTTGTAAACACGTGGGACTTCTTAGTGTCAGCTGTTTCACCCTAAATTGTTAGGTCGCGAGAAGAAAGCCGACCTGCATCATTGTAAGGCCTTTGTCTCCACCTCGTGGTCGTCCTGTGTAATAGCACCGATAAGATCGGAACGCAGAGCCTCCAATTCTGCCGCACAGAAGCCTGTCAGTCAGGCTGCTCCTGTCAAAGCACCACAAGTATTTAACAGTCTGGGAGCTCTGTGCTCCTACAAACGTCACAGAGAAAAAAAAACAAGGAAATTATAATTGATCCAAAGGGCAAATGTCTCTAAATGGCATGAGTCTGTTAGTCAGTTCTTCGTTGTTCTTGAACACACAGCTGTGCAAACCTAGACTTAGTTGAATCCCTCCGAACATGAACTGAGATATATATATATAAGAGCCTTTACTGCATTATAAATCCGTTCAGCCAGGTACTACAGCCACCTCGTTTCAGGACAAAACCCCAGAGACGAGACCGGGAAAGGCTGTGATATTCAGTCAATTGAGCTGGGAAGACCAGTGTCCTTGTAACAGGCCATCTGATATTGATGGCGTGGTGTCACACAATAAGACGTGCCGTCGTCGCGCGGTTATTATACCGCTAGGACGCCAAACGACAAGAAGCGGAGAGGCCGAGGACCGAAGGGTATCCTGAAACCGGACTGCCCTAGTCACAGGGATGAAACGCACATCTCGTTTTCGCGGCGCAGGTATCAAAAAGCGACGCGAGTTACCAATTCGGGCAGGAGGACCCTGTTCCTCGAAGTCTGGTCTCAAAATAGCAGCACCCGGGAGCTGCACCGCATCCGGCGGGGGGTCTCTAATGGTATGATCCCGCTGTTCTGAGAAGCAGATGCTGCTGTTTTATCGGCGGAAATAAAAAACCGAAAATACCAATAAAACCGGCTATCCACAGCGACAGCAGTCAGCGGGAAGCTGCCGTTTTTTTTTTTGCAGGGGGATCTGCCAGCGAGCCGAACCTGTCGCGGCGGCAGGTGGGGGAAATCTGATTTTAGGACATCCAGACGTTAGGAGAAGCGGTAGAAACGGTGCAGGTGCGGACGCGAATGAGCCTCTCTCCTGGCCGGCGGCCTCCGGGAAGTGGCGAAGGCGCAGGGGTCCGCCGCCGACAGCACAGCGCTGACAAAAATGGGAGCCCGGCGCCGCTCGTCACAGCCGCGGCTCGTCCGTCTGCAACCTAGCAAGACCCGCAGGGTGAAGGAGTAGCACACAGAGACGGCGCCCACGGCATCCAAGTCGCCCACAGAGGATGTTCCGTGCAAGCACCCGGCCAGCTGAAGGTAGAATCTGGTTATTTATTATTAACACGAACAATGATATTTACAATAAGTATGGTTTTGGCATTTGTGTTCTCTAGAGGAGACTGGTATTCTCTTTTTTAATGCCATTCAGTGTTTTCCGGTATTCAGCGGTCGTTTTGTGTGTGTATATATATAGATTTGCTCATTCAAAACTGTTTTCTTCGTTTTTCCATTTTATTACTGTCGCGTTTGAGTGAACGAACCGACGACATTGCGCTTAGGAAATGCACTTGATTGCCTGGTATGAAAACACGCATCATTAAAACGCGATATTACCTGGGATATATCCAGAAATGTTCTTCAATATGTAAATCTGAGAACTGCACGTGCGTCCATCTTCAGCCTGAGCGGAATGGCTGATCGCTGGAGCAGAGAAAAGCCTTGTAAAGGAGATCTGAACACAAGGTCAGTTCGCTGAGAGAAAATGTAGCGCGATGAATTCATCACGGCAAAAACACACAAACGAGTTTCGGGAAAAGAAATGTTCTCAGCTTCTTCACTTTTGATGGCAAAATAAGGACTGTAGAGGGTGTGTTTTCTGAGTGTCAGGTGTGAGCAGATTTGCCTGTGTGCACGCCAGGTTGCTGGATGGTCGCCGGAGCCCAGCAGCAGGAAGAGCCATCCTGCTGAGGGCCACACATGCAGGGCCGGGCGATCCCCCTGCTCCTCCGCCCACCTGCACGCTCACCAGCGCGATGCCCAGCCTCCCGGCCCCCAGCCTGGGCGGCAACTCCAGCGCCGCGCCCTGGGCCTCCTCTCCGGCCCACTGCGCGGTGAAGATCGCCCTGATCCTCGCCATCCTCTGCGCCTCCCTGTTCGGGAACGTGCTGGTGCTCCTGGTGTTCCACCGCAAGCCCCAGCTGCTGCACGTGGCCAACCGCTTCGTCCTCAACCTGCTGCTGGCCGACCTGCTGCAGACCGTGCTGGTGATGCCGTTCGCCATCGCCGCCGCCGTCCCCGGCGTCTGGCCGCTGGACGCCCGCCTGTGCCAGGCCCTGGTGGTGCTCATGCACCTGTTCGCCTTCGCCGGGGTCAACACCATCATCGTGGTGTCCGTGGACAGGTACCTGGCCATCATCCACCCTCTCTCCTACCCCACCCGGATGACGCCTCACCTGGGGACCAACCTGATCGCCCTCACCTGGCTGCTGAGCGTCCTGCAGAGCACGCCTCCCCTGTATGGCTGGGGGGCCATCGCCTTCGACCGGCGCCACAGCCTCTGCACGGTGGTGTGGTCCTCCAGTTACTCCTACTCCTCCTTGGTCTCCACCTCCTCCTTCTGGGTGCCCGTCTGCATCATGCTGGGCTGCTACTGGATGGTGTTCCGGGCGGCCAGGAGGCAAAACGCCCTGGTCCACCCCACGCAGGCCGCCAGCCACGGCACCCCGGGCCCGGAGCAGCAGCAGCCCCTGGGGTACTCGGCGGGGTACCCCACGAAGACGCGGCACAGGAAGTTCCACTACCACTGCAAGGCAGCTAAGGTCGTCTTCGTCATCGTGTCCTCGTACATCTTCAGCATGGGGCCCTACAGTATCCTCGGCACCATCTCCATCAACCCCAGCAATTCCGTGCCCCCCTGGCTCAGCTCCCTGGCCCTCATCCTGTTCTTCTTGCAGTGCTGCATTCACCCCTACATCTACGGCTACATGCACCGCAGCGTGCGCAAGGAGTTCCTGGCGCTGCTCTGCGGCTCCCTCTGCAGGACAGGCCAGCCGCGGGGCTCGGCCGCGGGCAGCTGCTTCACCGTGACCGACGGCCGGCCCGCGCACTCCCACTTCCCGGGCATGGCGGCCCGGGTCTGCCCCCTGCGCACCTGGGAGGAGGGCACCACGTCCTCCTCCCCGACGGAGAGGAGGTCCAAGGACAGCCGCCGGGAGACCACCTCCGTCAGCCTCAGCTCCGAGAAGGAGCTCAACGTCCTGGCCAAGTGAGCCGAACGCGGGCAGGTCTTACCCCCCCCGCGGACTACAGCTGTACGCTACGCTGTGGCACGGCCCTGTGTGGGGTCCAGCCCACGTGCTGGTCGAGCTGCAGCTTTAACTGGTGTACATAGAGAGAGACACGTTTCTGCAACCAAGTGGACGGGTAGACACCTGGGTTGCTTGGGTGTCTGATTTTCTTGACAAATTCAGGTTTGTGTCCAAATTGCTCAGTCTTCAAAACAAGTCCTATCTATTACTGGCAGGAGAAAAGAGATGCGTTCCACCCTGCATACAGTACCTTCATCAGAATGCACAATGTACAATGTACCACGAAGCCTGGTCAGAGAACCCTACTTATTCACAGTATTTAGGCTGGGATTATTACACATTTTTTCTCACTCAGATGCTTTTTAGTTTAATCTGTCAATAGTCTATGTTCAGGTTTTTTTTTTTTTACTTTTTTCAAGAAAAGGCCAATCTGGTCTCTCTAAGGTCCACACAGACATGGTGCTTTACTTAACAAAGAAATCTCATTAAGTGCTCTTTTTCAAGGATTTCAGAAAGAGAGTAGGGCCACCTTAAGCCCAGTGTGCATGTGTATAGGTATAGGTTTATAGGTTAATAAATAAAGTCTTGGGTTCAACATCTGACTTTTAAAATAATAGGAAGGCCAAATGCATCTAATCACCGTCTGCAGTATGAATTTAGCTCTAAGATTTTTCAGTGTGAGGGCTTTGAGCCAGAAGTGTGAAAGAGCATCAGTAAGTCACAACAGGCTCGGCGTCTGTGCTCTGCATTGTGTTTCCAGGTAGGTCAGAGGCAACGATGACGATGTGAGAAGGACACCGCTTTCCCCAGTATGTTCTCTGCATTGCTGCTGCCGAAGAAAATTGCTCACAGCGATGGCACGGGCACAGAGCCCGAAAGCACTGAGCCTGTTAAAGCTTAGACTGAGCTGCGAAGTAAACAGTGACACGTGTGTCTGGTAACTGAAACCAGCGTTTAGTTTTTAGACTTCCTCATACATGAGTCGCATTCTTCTTTCTTGGTTTCTAGACTGCAGATTGCCGGGTGTTTCTGGCAAGTATTTGTCCGTCCCCCCGCCCCCGTTTCATGTAGACAAAACTGCAATCCCGATTCATTTTTTAGGATTTAAAATGACTGAGAATGAGATGCTGATGGCCCCTAATCCAGTGCGATCCTTCCACATGAAGATGCCTTGTGGTGTTTGACTGCCCTATGTCACATTGGCCTAGGTGATGTTCACTGCTACAGAAGTGCAATATTGTCTTGCTTGCCCCCAATGTTGACAGCCAAGGACTCAATAACATACCCACCTGAAGCGAGAGTGCTTCTTACAGTAAGGGGGTTCAGACCCATAAACTCTGCCAAGACACTTTACTGTGCTCTGAGAAAAGAACTACATTCTCATCTGAATCTCAGCGCACCCTGAAAACAAGTCACTGTTTAATGGGTATTAAAAGGCCTTTCCTCAGTTTAAGGTAATTCTCTTCATACCCCTGAAAAGCACTTTGTATTTCTGATAATTCAGGCTCTTTGGAAACCTCCATGCTCTACAATGAAAACGGCACAACTGTTAAAGATTGTATCATCTGTATTTTCTAAGATGTCTGTAACTGATGAGGAAATTGCAACAGAAAAAAAATCGGATGGAAACTGCCAGCTTTGATTGTATAAATAAAATAAGAATCGAAAGAACCATTGGGATCCTAGTTAAATTGTGGAAAGGTTTTCGCAAGCTTCTCCGAGACAGATCCATCGTGTTCTACATACTTCATGCAAAACCGTGCGCAGCCCAGTTATTAAGAGTTGGCATTTTCTCTGTAGTCTAGTCTCCAGAAAGGTGAAAATCATAACATCACGTGAATGACTTCGCAATTCCTGCATCTGCCTTGGACTGTTATATCTCCCACTCCTCTTAGCACAAGTGCTGCACGTAATGCTGTTCTAAATGTGAACAGGAACCAAAACCAAACAGAACGAAAGAAATGCCTGTTTTTGACAGCTAATGTCATTACTTCAGCTGCACTTTCATATTCATAGGATATGTTCTTGCAGAAGAGTGAGCTGAATACATCAGCCCATCTCTTAGTGTTGTTTACCAGAGAAAGGGAAAAAAGTCCAAGCAGTGACCCTTCTCATGGATCCAAGTCTGGTTGATAAAAGAAACCTTATACTGTTAATTGTAGTTGTTTGGATATGAAGTGTTTGAATAGTTACGCTCTGCACCGTTTACAGTTTGAGCTTATTAAGAGAATCTTCCGGCATGTGACTTGACAATTAGTGTATTAATACACACCCTGTATATACATACTAACCAGACACAGCAAATCAGATGTTAAAACCTCAAAACCCCGGAAGAGGTTATGATGTGCATGAAATTGGTTTTTACTTTGCCATATCATACCAGGCAAAGGGCTTTGTTTCAGTTGTGAAAACAGTGTAGACAATCAAAATGACCAGTTTAGGGAAAAGTAAAGGATAAGTAGTAATAGTACAATTCTCTACCTGTGCTGTAACAGATGGTTCATACTTATATATATATAGTAACAAAGAGAAAAGTAATGACTAGTATGTTTTATATGCTATTTATTATCTAGAGGTTTATGTAAAATTTATATTGTGGATTTTTCATTTGATCATTTTCAGAATGGTTTCAAACTACTTCTGTACATTTTGTATTATGGAATAAAAACACGTGAAGTTCTTAAAACTCTTATTGTTCCAACAGCACCCAGAGGAGACAACAAAAAATTCAATACAACATTAAATGTTTAAAAAGTACAGATCTGTGGTACCCTCTAAACATTAAAGCACATTAAAAATAAAAAAATGAGGAAGGCCAAAAAAAAACCCCCATCTTACGTGCCAAGACAACAGCTAGTAAACCTGCACCAGGGTGCGTGTGTGGGTCTGGTCCTTGCAGTCAAACACCAAAATCGGCCACAGCTGTGCTGTAGAAACAACTCGGGTCTCGACAAAACGAGAGGAAGGACAAAACAGGAGGACGATCAACCCCGAGCAAAATTTGCTGGACTACTCTGACCCATCCTGGGCTTAACATTTTTCATTCCGACATTGCAAACAAGGTTCGACCACTCATTACAGAGCCTGCGGCTGGTTAGGTCTGATACTGCTAGATAAAGCAACAGGCAACGCTGAATATAGGTTATTTGGCTGTCTCTATCGTTAGGAGGACAAGAATACAGGAAATGGCAAAAGACAACCTCCCAGTTCAGCTGCTCGGCTATATAACAGGCCAGAAAGCAATCTCTAAGTGATCACGCCAGGTTGCCACAGAACAGCTGTCGTGAGAATATCTCTTCGTCTTTTCAGGGGTGGCTGCTTCACCAGGAGAGCGCTGCTTGACGAATCCCACCTGCTTGGGGAATCCTGGTCATCCCTAGGGATGTGACATGCCCCAGGCTCGGACCGGAGCCCTTTACTGGAGGAGTCTCTCGGCAGGGCCCCAAGGTTTAGTACTTTCCTGGGGAGTCAAACAAATGCTTAAAGAGCACAAGCAAACGGTTAACGACAGCACCATGCCACAAAAAGGATATGTCTTTGTAATCAAGGTTGTGCCATTTATTTCATATTAACCGAAGGACAGCAATAAAAATTCAATAAAAATAACGAGAAAAAGCAAACAGATATGAGACTGGGCACTGGCATAGTAAAGAAAAGAAGATATTAAAAAATTATACAGGGCACTATGTACAGGTATTCAATGCTACTCCTCTCACTCCCGACAGAAGACAGAAAAGACACTGGAAAAAAAAAATCACATTTTAATTGACAATACCCGAGTACGCAGACATTCTTTGTGTATGAATCCAAGGAAAGATTTTTTTTTTTGCAAGTCAACTACAGTAGGTGCAATAATTATAATAGTAGCTTAAAGATTTTCAGGGCTTCTGATAAAATAAGTTGAAGAACGCATGGTCCTAAACGCACTGTACAAATATGTACTTCCACTCAAAGCATCTTGCAAAACAAGGAGTCTCTTCCCCTTATGTCATCTTTGGAGTCAACATGAGCAGGCAACACCAGTTTAAGGTGCAAGACAGACAATTGAAAATAAAAATATTAATATGAAGATAAAAAAAAATTTACATTTTTCAACAAACAAGTCAACAGACTTCTTTACAGAAGTATCTTAAATACAGGATGTTTTCAGACGGACTCCACGAGGTGCTATACAGACATTTTGCTCCTGGAAGAGAGTGCGCTGGCCTCCTCCCGGCCTCCCAGCGACAGGCAGAGGCAGAGGCAGAGGCAGAGGCTCAGACCCGTCAGTCCACCTTCACCACGCTGTAGATCTTATTCACAAACCAGAAACAGGCGAAAAAGCCGATGGTACCTGAGAAGGAAAAAAAAAAGGACAAGGATTACACGCGGGCTGGAAAACGGCTTTGGAGAAACCGGATCCGCCCACGTTCCCCTCGGAACGGCTGAGGGACGCTGGATGCACGTGTCCACACAGCGCTGAAAAACTGCTGCCCTCTTCTTATTCTCTTGCGTCTCTTCGGGGGCACTGTTCCCGGTCTTCCTCTACACTTTCATGGCCCTCTGCTTTAGGGACTTCCAGATAAAAACAATCGTCGGTCTCGCGCTCCTAAAACCACGAACGGTCAAGCCTTCCAACAAAATAAAAAGGAACGGCAGAACAATACAGGCCGAGACCGCGAGTTTAATTCAGTCACAAAAAACACGAGCTACGGGCTAATTCAGGGCTGGCAGGAACCGTCGACGCAGACACCCCCAGCTGTCCTCATTTAACACACTACACGCCGACACAAAATAATACACGTTAACTATACGGAGAAGAGAAATAAATGTAACTGGTGAAAAGCGGGGGAGAAAAGCACTCATTCTTCCACCCAAGGGGAGCGTGTGGTCTCACTGCCCCAGGGAACCCCACTGGAAGTCCGACAGGAATCCCAGTGCGGAGCACTTTGATCCGTTTCGGGAATTACAACATGAAGCAGTGCAAGCTGAGCGACAGGCAAAGTCATCCTCCACCTTCACATCCAGACAAGCTTAGTCAGAACAAGGCGGCAAGCACAATACACCCTGAACCGGAGTATTTCTGCGTTTGTATTTCTGTACTTGTGAGGACCTGCCACTGACTCTCATTCCTCTTCAATGTATTATTCTCAGCCCTGCCTTAATGAGATTCCACAGGGGGCGGTATCAAACCCCAAAACGTACAGCTCGGGTTCTTTCCAATTTGAAACAAAGGGTCACTCGTAATTTTTGTAATCATTTGCAGAGCGGGAGGAACATCGCTGCAGCGTCTCCCATAAGTTACTACCTTTGTGGGGACTAAGCCCGTCACTTGCTCGATAAGAAAGATGCTGAAACTTCACCGTTGTGGTTCTATGCTTCTGAGGACCTGCTATCGATCCTGTTCTATCACTTATTATTCTCTGTTCCACCAAAATTAAAACTTGACTTCGGGGGGGGGGGCACTTTTAGATCTTAAAGATGAAGCTATCTGGTTTATGAAGAAGCGGCATTCGCTATCGTTACAAAGCCATTTTCTTTGGAAAAGCTCAAATGTTGCTTTGGGATATGCCTGAACATTACACCCAGGAAGGACCTTTGAATTAATTTAATAATTTTCAAGGAGCCTTAAGCGCAGAGGAGCGAGAAAGCTATGATGTGGTGTATGGTTATGTGTTAAAAGGGTGGACACCGGCATCATCATAACTGCAAAACTGAGAAGCAGCTCTTTGGAATAGCATGGTATGTTTTAAGCGACAGCTTCGAGGTGATTTTGTTTTTCTACAAAATTAAATGACGAAAGAAGGCAGATTTTTCCTTACCGCTTCATACTGCACTTTTCTATGCATTTCACAATGCTATTCTAGAACCTAGATAAACATGCTAATGTGGAATAATGTAGATTACCATCTTTACAGTAAAGGAACAGTTTAGAAATGAATGCATCGTCTTAAGAGTTTCACCCAGCCACACAACAGGCCGTTTGGATCAAAGAAGAGGGGGAAAACAAAATAATTTTTTACATGCTATCATACACCAGTGAAAGAGAGATTCAGAATAGCTCGGTAATTCAGAATGCACTGCAAAAGACAATTTGCATCATCATTCTAACAAATATACGTCTTTATAAAACTGAACAGAATGATGCAAATATCAAAAATAACGAAATTTTGTCGTCTAACATCTGTTGCTCTATGGAAGCCATCAGATGCACGATGCAGACCAAATGCACGAAGTGGGTACGAATTCACAAACCAGAAAGGAAAAAGAAATATAAAAAAAAATATTTGGCACCAACGTAATAACAGCTGTTATATATATATTTTTTAATTCAACATCGGCTAATTTATGGAAAGATTGCAGCGTGACAATTTGCCATTTTCTTTGCTTTTGTAGCTCGCAAAAAAAGCAATGCACACATCAAGATATTCCTGAAAAAAAAGCATCATATTAAAAAATATATAATACCTATCCACAATGGGGGCCTGCATCCCCTGCTCTATTTATCCCAGCAAGGGGTTTCAATACAATGGGACAGAATTGCCATAGTGGTCCTGCCATTCAAATGCACTTTGTGCTTTCATTCTTAACAAAGTGCACCTGTTCCTAAATTAGAGTCATCAATGTGATGGCTGACTAAAGCATAAATTCAAATCATTTAACCTCTGAATCCCTTTTTGTCCCCTTAGGACTTACAGAATAAATATTAACATTTGTGCCTTTTTATCTACTGGAACACAGCCATTGGTCCCCGGAGTTCTGTTCTAATAAAGTTCCGCCGAGCAGATGTCCATATCGGTTCAAAACCTGGGGTTCGAGCAGAACAGAGCAGTGAAAGTGAATACTGTCACTGGTCAGTGACACACTCCCGCAGGCTGTCTCACTGAAAATATTCTACGGCATTCCCTCTGTGATATGCTCCTAACGGGCCATTCAAAATCCTGTTTTCACAAGCATTAGGTGACGGATAGAAAGGGGATACTTTATTTTCTATACAGATCATAGGAAAAATAGTTTGCGCATGTTTGCTCAATTTAATTTTTTGCGGCCATAAAAAAAACTATTTTTTTTCAAAGGGAAAAGGCGCCACACTGCTCATCAATTTCAGCCTCAGTGAACAACCTGAACCATTCACTGGCTCACATCTTTATATTTCAAGTGCCAGCACAGAGAAGTTGCCATAACAGCGGTACTCAGGGCTCCAGATGAATCCATTATAACCCGTGGCAACAAAAAGTAGTGCTTCCTGAAATGGTTTTTGAAGCTGGAGAAGCAGAAGCTTGGGAGCTGAATCAAACCTTTTCAAGTGGTCTTATATTAGCACCTCCTTTGAAGTTCATGTGCAAAGGAAAAAAAAACAGATTACCTCTAAACCTCTGACTGAATATCTTGTTTTTCCTGAAATAGTTCTGTTTACATACAGCAGCTTCTTCATTCGTTTCCTGTTTGTGATCAGCAGGGTCTTGGGGCTCAGAGGTAGAATTAGTTAGGACAAGGAAAGGAGGACCAATCGGTTAAATGTGGGAGAACAAAGCTTCAGGATGTTCAAATTTGAAAGCACAGACACTCAGGCAGCCTTTAACTTTAACAGCCATAGCACACATTGGTTTAACATCATGTAAGAATGCAATACTCTAGGAAAGATGCGACGTCTTCCGACTAAAGAGCATTTTCAAATTCTTGGCTGAGGTGCCAGGAGAATTAAAAAGTGCCACTGGGAGGCCACGGTCCTCTTCACTTCTCACTGAAGACAAATCCACATGAACCTCCAGTCTTGTCTGAGAGTCTGCACACAGCTGCGGTGACTCACGATCACCAGCAACACATTCAACTGCTTCTAAAAATACAGACTTGTCCACAATTATTTTTGCTTTGCAGATAATTAAAACTGCTTCTGAGTTTTGCATCACACATGACAACCAACTATACCATCTGGATGCAGGAATTCATATGTAAAAGGAGCAGGCGTCTTTAAAAATAAAGCTTTTACGTGCGTGAGCTGCATAAAAGGTTCTGTGCATAAATGATTTAAATTTAGTATCCACAGTTTTTTCTTCTTCTTTGTTTATATCACAGTGGGCATGTAACAGACATTCACACAAGCCATTTAGGGACAACTGAAATAAAAACAGGACGCTCCCATATAGCCCTTCAAGTGTGTCAGAGAAGGGTCCAAGCCAAAAACGGATTTTTTCTTTTTACCTTGCAGCAGGGAAGTAACCTCTGTGTTTCTTCAAAGGTCACAGACATACTAAAAGCTCTCTACTCAAACCTCTACAACCAAACTAACATTTGACAGATTGGCTCAGGAAAAATGAAGATGAATACAAGCTATTTTAATTTTTTTTTTTAAATGTCAAGCTGTAGCAAACAACCAGCTTAAAAAAGTAAGGCAAAAACACAGCTTAAACTCTTGTGCATTACCAGGAACAGGACAGGCAGTTAGCATGTCATTACAATGGCGATGGTGGTAAGGTGGTGAGATTTCTGGACTCCTGGGTACAGATCCTAGGCAGAGACACACTGCCATGCCCTTGAGCAAGACCACTCCAGCACAGCCGTATCAGTGCTGGTCAAATGTATATGTAAAACAAACAGGGAAATGTAACTTCCGTAAAAAGCTTTGCATACAAGCGTGAACAGCCCTGAGCCTGCAACGCCAGGTACAATCTCACCTGCGTCTCACAGGTTAAGTAAACTAGCCTTAGGGAGGCTAGATATGCTGAACAGGAAAACCCTGATTTAACAGACAAACTATTATAATGAAGATGATTAACGAGCGCAGCAGTGCACATCAGCAACACAAAACCACCACGGGGCACTTATAACCAGATTGCTGAGTTAGAGACCCATAACGACTAGACTGCATTCAGGGTCTTATTACTATTGTTCATTTACTCTGTAATCTGATTTTATATTATGCCAAACAATAAAGTCTCTATTCAATGCAAAAAAAAAACAGACTAGCTTGTCCTGAAAAATAGGTTCCATTAAAATGAACAAAAAGGTAAGGTCTGGTCTCAAAGGAGTTGACAAAACTAGCTCCCTTGGCACTGGGGTGCTGTGCAGAATGGGGTAAAAAGTGAAGCAGAGTTTCCAGAGCAGATATACTGAAAGAAGGTGGACACACAAGCTGCCTTTTTCCCCCCCGAATGGGAACCGCAGTTCTTATGTGCCCTTAGCTTGATAAAAACAACATCTGAAAATACCTGACAACAGACAAAATCCCTACATTTCTCTGTGAGGTTCTCACATGTTTGCTAAAACTCCGATATTCCCTTTGAACTGTACATGCCTGCTGAAGAAAGTGAAGAAAGTTCAGTTTTGCACATGCAAAATACAAAATGGGGTAAAATTCCACCTATCTTGTCTGAAATAGCGTAAACCACTGACAGCCTTAATCTACCAAATGTAAAAAACAAGATGGAGGGACATACATTTTAAACGAATAACAAAAAAGCACTTTTTTTACACAGAACAGTTGTGGAGGGATCTGGAGCAAGCTACCGACTTATTTTGTTGAAAGTTGATATCTTGGCTGTTGTTACAGCTGGAAGAGATGCTCAAACCAAATAGCTACCACTAATCAAACACCCTGCGTGGGCAAAAAAGCCTTCTTTCGTTGATAACCTTTCTTAAATTCTTATGAATCGTATGGAACACAGAACAGACATACAGCAATACAGCCAAGTGACAGACTGCTACAACAGAATTTACCATTTGGAAATGTTACAAGACTGACTGATTCATTTTAATCATTTAATTGTGTTAGGTCTGGTTCAGTGTTGCCAACGTGTCCTGATTAATACAATAAAAAACCCGCACTACAACAATCACACAAAATGTTGCCTTCACTGGTGTGTGGATTTTCCTGTTATGATACGTCAGTCAGCTGAATTACAGCACATCAGAATACAGCCAGCATCTGCTGGAGCTGAATTGAGCTGGCAGTCTAAGGCAATAGTTAACAGGATATACTGTCCAGTAAAAACAACAAAGGAACAATAAGGAAACGGTTAGCTTTTGACATAAAACACAGGCTTCTCAAGCTCCATCAAATAAGCTAATGTTGCATATAACCAACAAAATGCAAATTCTGACAGGTTCATATCTGAACCCTACACACAGAACTACTGATGACTCTCATGGCTGCAACCCAGCACCAACAGACACCTGCAACTCTGGTCTCTTCTGTAATTCCAATAGTGCTTTTACAAAAATATCAGAAGGTTTGCAATTGGTAGAGAATGTTTACCAGGATATTCTCAATAAAATTATCCAGGATATACACTAATGAGAAATCCTACACATCTAGAGGTTAGCATTTGGACTGTGTATTTGAGCAAAGATAGTTGTATAACTTCACACGAGGAAACTCATTGCTCAGGAAGGTCATAATAGCAGGAGATCCAGAATCATTTTAAAAAATGATGCAACTGTGTGAAGCACTGCCAATTTCCCCTAAACTCAATTCCCCTATAGAAAATCAGAGCCAAATACTCCAGGGGATTTTACCATAATCCGTCAGAAACAAAATAATAATAACAGTGGCTGATTAAAGATGGCATAAAGCTGGCTTTTAATGGTACAACTTGTGGGAAGAGAAAGATAAACTATCTTTCTCTTTCCACTCAGTGCAAGGTTACCTTAGCACCAGAACCACTGATAAGCCTTGATTTGTTTCAGCCACAGAGCTGAAAGTGATAGCATGAGATAGCTAAAGGAAGGAGGCATTAATATTATTTTCATCACATCCGTCCCAGGGTTTCCTTCAGGAAAAAGTTTATGCCAGTTGGTCCTCTCCCTCCCTACCTAGCTAACAACTAGATTACTGTACTACCTTGTGAGCTAACTAGCTATGTTATTATTGTAATACTGTAACTACACTACAGTACTCATTCAGCTGTGAGGAAACCCAGCACTTTTTGTTGATTATGAACATAGCTCTCAGGGATCCACAACCCCCATGCACGATATTTTTCACCGAAAACTACAATACCGCTTGTACTGATGGGTTATTTTATTCATGTACAGTTTAACACACTGGTTAATTAATGGAATCGTGAGACTCCATAATGATTTTTAAATTTTGCATTCATTAGATCATTTGCAGACCAAGACGTGAGACTGAGATTCGGTCCAAATGTATGAGACTTGAGATTAATGTGATCATGTATCACTGGCTGGCAAATGCTCCTGTAGTGTATTACTACAGAACAGTATTTCAATATGGATTCTTTTGTACATTTTGTCGGCGTTCAGGCATTTGTTTGGCCAGGCGGTGCTGATCTGTGGCCCGTCTGGCCTGTTTACAGCTGTTTACTTGTATTCTTTTGTTGTTTTCTTTATCTACATGGGTGCCCTGAGAACTGCAGCTTTGGAACACGCCCAACACAGCCCAGGGAAACAACCAAAGTCTGTGTGTCCGGTCACATTCCACCAATTATCTAACAAGACGAGTCTTGGATATAAAAAGTAAGCAAACAACAATCAGTGCCTGAACAAAAGCGCAGGGACAGCAATAGCAATTACACGCGATGCCAATGGCAGCTTTGCGCAAAAGAAAAATGGAGGAGTTAATAACTGCCTTGACAAGCGTTCGCACTGTATTGTGTCACAGGGTTAGTGTGGCCAAACAAGGCCCTTCACTGTCAGATTCTGCCCTATGCCACTTCCTGTTGCGAGAATACACAAGCTTGGATGTTGCGGGACCACCACTATCTCCGATCTCTTAAGTCTTGCCGACTCTTTAATTAGCACAGAGGTCAGCAGTGAAACAGGAGGGAGGGGGAGCCTGCCCAGGCAGGCGTGCTCACCTGTGAAGAGAAAGAATATGAGCACCATGATCATGGTGTAGCCGAAGTAGAGGATGGTGCTGGCTGCTCCCGTGATCTGCAGTTTGGAGAAGAAGTAATGGACCGCATAGACAAACAGGTACACTGCCGTGAAGCCAGAGGTCAGGAATGACCGCCACCACCAGTGGTAGTCCTAAAGAAGAGGGAAGAATAAAAAGAAGATTAGAATATTAACCCTGGAGGGAACTAGCGAGTTCATCAGGCCTTCAAGATATTTGAGCGGTTTTGGAGAAAATGGAGCAGAACACCAGTTCAACAGCACCATTGCTCACCTTCGTGAGTTTTCAGCAAGAGATATGGGCGTTAGCGTGACCCAGCATGACCAACAGAAGGGATGTTCGAACAATATTAAATTCAGCCCTCGTTAAAAGGGCACTAATTCTTTAGCAGGAACCCTCCGAGCCAGACGCTGAAGCGAAGCAACGCAACACTAAACGCGGGCTCATGACGTCATCAGTCCCTCCCCAGCACAGGGACCCCAGCGCCACGCTCCTACCTCTGCGCACAGATGGAAGTAGCACAGCAGGATGGTGGCCTCAGAGCAGGTGATGAGAAGTATGATGAAGACCAGGAAGAGGAACCCAAACATGTAGTACATCTGATGGGACCTGCAGACCGGAAGACAAGAAGAGGGCTCTAACTCCACGATCACAGCACACACAATCATAAATCCCACTCCACCCTACCACGGAGAAAATGCAGAACGAGGGGTCAGAGATGAAAACTGTAAAACTAGTCACCAGATGCTGTTCAGGATGAAGAACAGCTGAATGAAAATGCAGCCGAAAGGCAGGATTCCACCCATGACGATGCCCGGCAGCGGTTTGGTGAAAAATGACTGTTCTGGAATCTGGCGAGGAATCTGGTTTGTACGCACTGGATGCTCAATAGCCTGAAAATTAAATACAGGACAAAAAGGACAGAAAAGGTAATAATTGCATCATTGTTACGTTACTGCTGTAGTACCATTTTGTCAGAAAATAACGTACCATACTGAAGTCAATGGAAATGACAAAACTGTGGAAATTAATTAATTAATTCTATTTAATTGTCAGTGGTAAAATTAAATTAGGCTGAGAAGTACTCAACTAATTCAAGTTCCAAAACGGGGGATTTTTTAACCATGTTCTTTGAATGAGCTACTGTACATCAATATGGAAATGGTAACGTGCATTGCTCACCATTCACTACAGTATATCATTTACAGAATTCTGCATAAAATTGCACTCTTCTCTTGTTCAGCTTTGCAAATTATTAAGGTCAATGTATTTTAATTCCAGTTTTCGGTCTCAAAAATGAATTCACACAAACGTATCAAACGGTTCAGTTTCCCAATTCAAACAAAATGTTGCACCTGCTCAGAAAGTATTGTTTCTTTGTCGTAAACACTCGGTAAAAGATGAAACAAAAGAAATATAGAGACACAAAAATTAAACCAGTCAATCCAGAAGGGTGGAACTTACCCTCTTTTTAAATCCAAAGTAGGCCCCTATGAAGGTCAGAGGCACAGAAATCCCAAACCACATGGCCAAAATAGCCACCAGAGTGCCGAAAGGAATCGCAGCCGATGACCCTTCCACCCACAGAATCAAATTCATGATGAAGAAATCGGCAAACACAATCCTAAACAAACAGGAAGTGGTGAGGTCACCATGCTGACAGAGGCCTGACAATGGCAACAGGTCACGGGCATTTCTTTATTCACCCACTTCTCCCCCCAGTAACAAAACATTAATAACCACCTCATCTTCCTTGTTTTTGAGTGAACATTGGTTTTTTTTTAATTAAGAAACCTGCAAAAATAGTTGTAAAACATAAAGAGGAAACAGATAAGAAACAATCCGTATGTCCAAATGTAATCATTTTCTAATACTGTTCTGTGCAAATGTAGCCTGTGTTAAATATTTTTGTCATGTGAATGTAATATGGGTCTATCTTTCTTTTTTATTTTATTTCAAATAAAATAATCTGTTCTTGAAGGTCGTGCTTCGAACAGGGGTCATTTCCATAGCAACAGAGCAGCTCAGAAGGGTCAGTGTGGAAGTGGCAGAAGAACAGCAGCCTACCCAGGACACAGGAGCGCCGTCAGCAGCACGTTGGTCTTCCACTTCTCGCCTCCAAACGCTGGTGAAAAGAAGACGCTCAATCTGTCTAAATTCCAAAACTATTCCCATTTTCCAAGATCGATTACAGAAAGGCGTTTATTATCGAGTTCGATGCCGCCAACGTGCTTCTTGTGGTTTTCACTTAAGACAACCTGAGAACCGTGTTTTGCCGAACCGTCGTTTAAAGAAGAAGCGGTCACAGAAATCATAATGAAACTGAGATTTACTGCAACGAGACAGCTTAATATTAGAACGACAAGATACCATATTCGTCCAGTTAACACTTGATAGACATTTCCAACTATCTGAACTGGGCTTACAATGGTGCAGATGTGCAGTTATGAAGCTGGGATCCTAGCCGATGAGCACTTACTTTTATACATGCGGGCAGACACATAGCCTGCTGGCGTTCCCAGAAGCACCCACAGGACCACAGCACAAGTCATCAGAGCTCCCCGATTAGCAGGGGACAGGAAGCCCAAACACGCCAAAACTGTGGGCAGAAATAAAGAACAGGGGAAAGGGTTATGTTTTAAATTTAAAGATCCATTGGCCTTTACCACTTATGGCCTCCTAATAATCCCCATCTCTGAATTGGCTTCATCACTCTGCTCTCCACCCCACCGAGAGCTGGTGTGTGGGTAGTGTACTGCTGCACTATGGCTGCCGTCGCATCATCCAGGTGGGGCTGCACACTGGTGCAGGGGAGTCTCCATTACCTCTAAAGCGCTTTGAGTGGCGTGTCCAGAAAAGTGCTATGTATGTGCAAGGAATTATTATTATTATTATTATTGGTGCAAAAAGAAGTGTGCAACTTTTCATCTCTAAAAAGATTTTCAGCACACTGAGATATGTTGATATGATATGAATATGGTAATAATAACTTCACCAGAAGAATTGCCTTTTTTTATACAAAAGAGACAAAAAAAGAGCACATTGTTACGGCACACTTAATTCAGTAGCGACTGCATTGATTTTTCATTCATCGGCAAATGCAAAAAAAGTAATTCCAGCTTCATAAATAATTTAAAAGATTCTGAACTATCATGCGTTTGAAATCGATTTTTGGAGAGGCGGCCAACTGCAAGTTAACACTTTTGTGGAAAGGACGGGTTGCAGGAGAATAAAATTTCAGACAAAAGGGTAAAAAAAGATCTGAGCACTAAATATACTGTGCCAGCTAAGGAATCTAAAATGAAGCTGTTAATGAACAACTTTACATGTGATGGAAACATCAGATACACAAAACCAACTGGGACTGCTAGGCACGCAGGCTTATAACCTCACAGCAGGATGCCCGCTGGGCTATCAAAAGAAAAAGAGAAGCTTAATTTTAGACTCTGCTGATAAGGGAATTAACTGTCTTTCAAATGCAAACTCTGCAGCCGGGGAAACAAGAGAAATTAATTCATCATATAGAAAGGTGGGAGGCAGAGGGATAGCTCTTTGTATATACCGTATTTAGAAGCGCGTCAGAAACAGCTAACGAACACAATACATCTGAAGCTCAAAACAAGTTTCTCCATTAATTACTGATTACTGGGATTCCCCCTGATGCATATCTTCTGGATATGGACGGTTACCCAGGCAGACCAGATTACATCTACTTGACTGTCTGCGCAGAACAGACAAACACGCTTCTCTCCAGATAATAATAATAAAATAATAATAATAATAATAGCTTACACTTACATAGCGCTTTTCTGGACACTCCCCTCAAAGCTCTTTACAGGTAATGGGGACTCCCCTCCACCACCAGTGTGCAGCCCCACCTGGATGATGTGACGGCAGCCATAGTGCACCAGAACACTCATCACACATCAGCTCTCAGTGGAGAGGAGAGCAGAGTAATGTAGCCAATTCATAGAGGGTGATTATTAGGAGGCCATGATTGGTAAGGGCCAATGGGAAATTTGGCCAGGACGCCGGGGTTACACCCCCTACTCTTTTCGAGAAACGCCCTGGGATTTTTAAGGACCACAGAGAGTCAGGACCTCGGTTTTACGTCTCATCCGGAGGACGGATGTTCTCAAACCCGTCAAGCTCGATTTCTACTAAGAGCTCAGTAGCTGTTCTTTGCCCCCCCTTATGTTTCCTGGAGAAACAAAGTGCTTGCAGGGCAAAACATCTGTACTGCTTCAATCAAGCGTCACTGCTCTTTCGCAGAAGCCTCACACTTTTTCAGTGTAACACTGTAAACCTACGGCCGCTGGACACTTCCAAACACGGACGAGCAGTGCAGCGCCGTTTTCTTTCATTGAAACGCCGGGTTTTACGCACTATTATTTCGCTGATGCTCAGAGGCTGTACCTTCACTGCAACTGTAAAATAATTTGCCAAAATGACATGTGATGACCCTAGAAGGTTAAGAGAGCGCAGCAGGTAGCTGCCTGAAAAACGGAGATCTCCTAAGTGCAAACTGAACACTTCAAAGTCACAGCCTGGGGCAATGCTGACTATGCTGAACACCTGAGGGATTTTCTGCGACTGGCTGCTGTTGTGTAACAGGTGCCGCACTGGCGTGCAGGGATCTGTGGCTCCGCAGCCAGCTGACTCACAGAGCGTGATGAAAGTCATGATGAAGATCTGCGTCCCTTGGCCGAGGAAGACGGACAGCAGCATGCCCTTCCTGGGGGGCCTGAAGACGTCCCCGTGCACCTGCTTCCACCCAGACTCCTCCTGTGCCTCCTCCTGCAGGCAGACAGTGCAATCACTTCCTGCACAGACCTAGGATTAGCAAATCGCCCTGTCTGACAGCTGTGGCTGACAGCTAATGCAAACTGGCTGTACCTGGTCAACCTGGTTGTATCTGGCAATGTCCTTATGAAGGGTACGCAGCATGATCATCGCCACCATGCCAGAGAGGAAGAGGACAATAACCAGAGAATTCATGATGCTGCAGGCAGATTGAGAAAATGATTGGGAAGGGGGGAAGAAAAAAAAAAATCAAACGCGTTATTCACTGTATCATTACTGGCTGGAGAAGAGGTCACAGGAAAGAAACGTTAAATAGAACGTGTTCACCCTTGTCTCTTTACATTTCCTGCAATTACACAGGATGAAAAATGCTTACAGTGAATGTCTTTTATATTCCCACTGTTCCTTACCACAACATATTCCATGTTCAAAACGAGTGCCCTATCAAAGAGTAAAGTACAAAAAAAAAACATATTCCAAATGTTAGGAGCCCTGTTTCTGCTCATTCACCAAGTCCATGTGGTAATGACAGATTGATATTTAATTCTCAGTTGGAGAATATAAGTTATTTTATGAGTGGTCCTGCAGTACAATAAACGAATTAGACCTGCTGTCTGCCTACAGATTGTGCGCAGTGGATAATCAGATCCCAAGTATATAAGATACCAGTCAGAAAAATCGGCACATACAGAGTGATTGTGTGCTACAGTACTGGAGCTGATGACAGAACCTACCTGAACCACTGAATATTGGTGTGAGGCATGGACACCAAAATGTAGTCCCACCGGGATGCCCATTTGATACTGTTATCTTTCTATAGTTAGGAATAAAAAAAGGGTCAATTCAGCTTACTCTGGGAATACACAGACACCCACATGCACTACAATATCTGGATACTTGGTGGGTTCATTTTGTCATGGTTAAGAAGGTATTTACTTACAACAAAAGTGACAGAGTAAGTGTAGACTAGGTTCAGCTTGCTGTTGAAGTCCCCAGGTATCTCCATAGGCTGACTGTTACAGTCCGGCTCGTTTTCATTGGGGTGCGTGTAACTGAGAAGGAGAATAGAAATACTCTTACCGATTTTGCCTTCATTTAAAAAAAAAAAAAAGAAATATAACCCAGCATGCATGATTGGAAAAACAACAACTTCATAATCGGCTGCCGTAATATTAGCAAAAATGAAACAGCCCTTCATTCCAACCAGAAAGGGGGGCTCTGCGAGATGTGTGACTTATGCCCTCTGCTGGTGAAATATGAAATAACGCTTGAAGGCTCTACTTGTCCTGTTTAGATAGATAGATACTTTATTGATCCCGTGAGGGAAATTGCAGAAAACAAAACAGTGTTTGAAAACACACATGCATTTGCTGTTCCTCCTTGGGCCTTCTTTAAAACTCAAGGGGGGTGGAAAGACGACAGTCTCGGCGGTCAGCCCCTGCTGGGGTGAAATACCTCATGGGCTCCAGCTTGGCCCCCACCAGCCTCGCTCCCTTCCAGCCCTCGTTCTCCCCGCTGTGGTACGTGATGGTAATGTCCACGTGGTTGAAGAGGTAGAAAGTATTCTTCTTATTGAACTTGGACTGCAAAGGCACACAAGGCAAAACGCAAACGCGGGAAGGGTCAGAGGCAGTGGCAGGAAACGGGTCTGAAGGGGTCATTTCAGGGGCCGCCTTCCTCTCGAGATAAAGCTCGACGTATTCCCTAAACAACACCGCAGGTCTGATAGTCACTTTAATTTTCATGATGGAAACCTCCTACCCGCAAACAAATACCCCACGCGGGGCAGCAAAGATTACTAGGTAGTTTTTAAGGCACCCACATTCCTAACGGGCACAGACTTCCTCGCCACGAGGGCGGGAGTTTGCTACACTTCAGTTTTCGGCGGTTTGTAAGAGGGGAATTAAAGGGGCGGCATCTGATCGATCAGCACCTGTATCGCGCAACAGCCTGACTAGTGTGGCCCCCGAGCGATTGCCTCCGGCCGAACTAATCAAGAGCAACGGAAAGACTGAAGAAGAGCCCCAGAGATGATAGAGAAGCGGCGAGAGAATTTCTTTGACGTGATATTAAATTAAACTCACAGCGGACAGACGTCCAGTACTTTGGACCCACAGAAGTCAGAAAAACTCACATTGATTACGCAGGCGTCCTTAGCTCGACCATTAGCCGTGACAAAGCAACCAATGGGGAAGCCGGGATTGCAGTACTTATGACCATCCTCGACATCATAACACCAGGTCACAGGCATGTTGTCAATGATCCTGAAATAAACACAACCGGCTTTAGGACCACACGACGCAACGTTTCGGCAAACAAGGAAAAAGAGGGCCATAAACAAGACCGAGCGTCTCCAGAGATCCAAAGGGCAGACTTCTAGACAAGGAAAGGGAAGTGGTGGAAGAATTAATTGAATATTTTTTACCAGCTAACACAACTCCTCTGATCACTCCCATTGCCATGGGTCATGCCCACTGACTTCACGGGCACAGGATGGGTACTACAACACCCATAAAGCAGGCAACACCACCAAACCGAAAAACAGCATGGGAAAGGTTAGAGGAAAACAAATAAATTCGGGCTGGAGGCTCTTCTGAATGGCAACAGGATTCTGTGGGTTAGTCAAGATGGATTTAGAAGTATCCCCAGCACAATGGGAAGGTGTATTTATAACTGAGAACAGGAGGCGATTATTTACATAAGGCGTACTCCAGCAGTCGTTTCAGAGCTAAAACGCCTTCAATGAATGGCTGGGTGATGAGTAAGATGAGCCAAATGACTGGCTTTATCCGTCCATCTTCTAACATCTTCTAACAGTACGGGGTTGTGGGAGAGCCAGGGCCTATCCCAGCAAGCAATGGGCACAAGGCAGGGTACACCCTGGATGGGACACCAGTTAATCGCAGGGCACAGTCAGACACAAACACGCACACGCTCTGACCAGAGCCAATTTTCCCGGTCAATCCAGTTAACCAACCAGCACGTCTTTGGACAGCTGGAGGAAACTGGAGCACCCCGATGGATCCCATGTGAACACAGGGAGAACTTACAAACTCGATGCACACGGCACCCTGGGTCCGGAATTGAAATGAGAGCCCCAGTACCGCATCACAGCAATGCTAACCACTGCGACTATTAGGTTTTAGTTGCAGACATGTTCTCCTTTAAGTGAAACTATGGGATTACAACTGTAAATCAAAGTCGAATGAGTTCCGATTTTTAACCAGAGGCTCCAATTCGAGGCAGAGCACAATCAACGTGAGTTAAAGTTGTTTCCCCCTAGTTTTCCCCATGATTTCTATCTGGCTGTCCACTAGTGATATACATGCACGGATTGGAATGAATCTCTGTTAAACATTACGACTCTTTCTCAGGGTGGAAAGTGACCATTTTTTTTTAATTTGTTTATGTTAATGAAACAAACGTATGAGGAGTTTTGCCATCCAGCCAGTACAGGACTCTGCTAATGCTAATCTGTAACCTGCCCGACTGTCTAAGAGGAGGTGGATATCAAGATATCAAGCACCAAAGGCACACGGATACTCCAGAAGCAGGAAGAAACACCAGTCTACAGTATATCGTTTAAAAGCTACTCACCAGTGGTGCTGGTAGTTCAGCTGGATTCCCTTCTTGAGGAACGCCAGCCTCATCTTGTCGTCTGCTTTACTTGGATCATAGGACTTTGCGCACACCTTCTTGCATTTCTCGTTTTTCATGACTGTGAACTGCAGTTGAAAGAATCACAACATTCTTAAACTTCAGACAGACAGCAGTCTGTTTTCTTTAAAAGAGGTTTTTAAAAAGCTTAAAAAGAGGTTTTTAAGCACGCGTGCAGGTTCAAAGATAAGCACATCACTGTGTGGCCAGACAGGTCTGACCAAACTTGCTACGAGCTGGACTGTCTCTGGTGTCCTACTCAAAGTCCCACCTTTGGCAAATATGTTAGCTGAACTGAACAATGTGATGCATTAAAGGGCTTGGCATCCTGCATGCAAAAGAAAGAATGTAAAACTCCATGAGCCTGACAACACATTGGCTTCTTAGAGGTCAAATAATGTCAGTGACTGCATTTAACGACTTAGTAAAACTAAATCTGTAGATTCTATACTGAGTGCTTATCAGCAAAAAAATCAACAGAGATCTTATTTAAACACAGGAAATATTCTGTTAGATCGCTAAGGTTTATCTGACATTACTGTTACCTTGTAAGGTGATGACTCGATTCTCTCTCCAAACAGCACCTGGCCGAGATTTTCAGAGGGACGCTTTTCGTCAGCATCTTGGCAGAAATCAAAACTTGAGGAAAATATTGGGGAGGAAAAAAAAAAAATCAAAGAAAGGGAATACAAAATTAATTTTGCGACACTCGGAGAAGGCACCACAGCCGAAACGTTGCCTTTCTTCTCTTCTCTTTTCAGCGTGGAATAAACCTTTACTTGTTCCTTTGCAGCCTATGCAGGCTGACGCAGCCACATACTTGAACTATTAGATCTTGTACTGTGTTAAATGGTTAAATGACAACCATCCATTTCAAGGCCCATGTAATGATCTAATATGCACACAACTTATGATATTCATCCAGTGTTAAAAAAACAAAAATGCTCTTTGAATGTAAAAGGTGGGGCAGAATTTTCCCCCCCAAAAAAGGAAAACGACGCATACTTACGCATCGTACTCATAAGGCAGTACCGATTCGACGGAGTCCAGCCGATTCACAAAGAGCTGAACTTCAGACTAGAATTAAAAACACAAAAGATAGCTTTACTGGAAGTCTGAACAGACTTTCAGCCCAGCTGGGTCAACTGGCTCAACTTTTCCACCATCCCAAAGACGGCACTTGCTGCACAGGAGACAGTCCCGCCTGGCAAGAAAGAACACTGACCGAAACGAACCAAAACATGAAAACAGGGAGAACATGCAAACTCCACACAGGTAGGCACCCCAAGCTGCCATCGAACCCGGGACCCTGGACCTGAGAGATAGTGGTTGGACCACCAGAAACCTACACAGAGCTTGAACACACACACACACTGCAAGGACCAAAGATACCTGCAGCTCACACCTGTAGGTATGGGTTCTGCCCAAATTAAGTACTGCACACACGGGAGTTGTGATCAGTATTGGTGCAAGACTGCAACACGTGGTTTATGACCCTATATGACCACGACAGAAACGCAACAAAATCCTATCTAATGGTGGAGCCTTTTAGGAGAAGGAATCCAGAGAAAAAAGAGGGCCCAGTGTAAGACTACGTGCTACATAATTAGCCCGTAATGTGTATTTCTTACACATCGTGAAGTCCGGGTGACTTTTAATGAAGGGTCAGTCAGCGTTAAGCACAAACGGAAGAGCGCAATAGTGCGACGAGTTTGAGATGACCTATGCTCGTTCATAAATACATCTTCAGTGCCCATCACACGTTCATCATGAGATTTACATACGGATATTGTTTTAAAACCCCACATGAAAATCAGCGGCTGCCAAGCAGTCCGACTGAAAGTGAAGCCTGACTTTGCTGGCTCCCCACCCGGCGGAGGGGAAGCTATGATTTTATAAAGCAGGTGTTTAGCGAGGCTGTCATTGCGACACATCGCAAACAACGTCGTCATAAACTCGTTAGACCACTCGAACGACCGTCGCCGAGAAGCGAGTAAAGCAAACGATATGCCACCACAGCTCAAAACAACTTCTCTCAGAGGATACAGGATCCGCTCACACCCAGTTGGTTAAAAAAAAAACTCTTGCCGGGTTTTTTTTTTCTCGATTAAAGACGAGCGAAGCATCGCGACTTAAGCTATCCAGGAAAAAGCCAGATGAGCCTGTTTCACTAGTCCGTCCAGTCAAAGTACGGCAAAGCCTGGGAGAGAGGCGGGCCTGGAGACCGCTGTGCCCAATTATAGGGAATACACCATTAAATCCTAAAGTATTAAACTAGCAGGTTTAACCGAATGAACCACCGGTATCGACAAAGTGAATGTTTTCATTTAAAAAGACTGCTCCTACACACAGACCACAAATTACCGCAAGCGCTTGCGAGGGACAGAACCCCCCCCCACTACTACACACACACACAAATCAACTAATAATTACCTTGCAGTCTTGGGTCTTGTCCTCGGTCTGGCAGAAACTTACTGGCGCTAAACCAGGAAGATAAAAACTGTAGCAGGACTGCAGGGCTATCAACGTCAGTGCAATCAGAAATGCCGAGACCTTCATTCTCCTGCTGGGTCTGAGGTAAGGCGAAACTGGCGGTGCGCGCTTGTGGCTGTTTCCGTCCTTCTGAAGTGTTGATATCGGTTTTCAGCAGCAGCCGGAGAGCAGGGGAGATGGGTCCAGACGGGAGCCAGTGGTGCTGTAGGACTGTGGTTTGCTATGGGAGCTGACGTTGGAGGAAAGGCTGTCACACGCACAGCCCGCTGGGTAGCCCACCATAGACAGCAGGAATGTCTAGGTTGGCCGTTCGCGCACTCACTCGCCCATTCGGAGTATTACTGCCACCTATCGTGCAGGCGTATGAAGTGCCACCTGCTGCATAGGTACTAAAATACACAACGGCGCAACTTTCAAATTTCAAATTCAAATTAGCCGCGCAACAGAATCTGCATCGCAGCGTGGTCTTGTTTTTATATTGGAACAGGCGAACCCGAAATAAAAAAACAGAATATCTCCCGGAAAAGAGTACACACATTTTAACTTTGTGATCAATGATCAATCTACACATCTCTTCCTGCTAAGTTAGGTATATTGTGATTTTTGTGAGCTCGCAGAAAATACATTTCTTATAATAATAATTGCTTACACTTATATAGCCCTTTTCTGGACACTCCACACAGAGCGCTTTACAGGTAATGGGGACTCCCCTCCACCACCACCACCAGTGTGTAACATCCACCTGGATGATGGTGTTCTTGCCAGCAACTACTGCTGCACGCCGTATTGTTGTGCGTTTGATAAATAAACTTTGATTTGATTTGATTTTGATTTGTATGTAACACACACTCTGACACATTTTAATCAAAGCATTGCAGTTTTCCTAACCCTAACTGTGCCGAAACTCCAGATCTAACCTTAATGTTCAAATAACATTTAAATCTTCCATTTAAAATAAAAAAAACACTACTGTAATAGGAAATACCACTTAACAATAAAAATCCAAAGATGTTATTTCCATCCTTTTTTGACCTGAGGTGTGGAGAGCACCATGAGTTTGACCTCTATACAAACAATTACAATGCATTAATTTTTGCTGCTTTCTTTTCTTAGACACAATGCATTAATATCTGTGGTAGTGATGTCATCTGGCCCCTGAAAGAACTACAGATATATTTTTGAGAAATCACATACTGATTCTTTGAACCAAATTAATCTGTTTTATACATTTAAAATAATACTTTATGCAATATTATTTTAAATACACAAATATGAAAGTTTTGAATCCCTATTGCTAAACGTTTGCTTTATTGGTTTGCTTTATTGCTTACCAATAAAAAGTTAAAGGCGGAGAATTGCATGCTCAGAGGTAAACTTACATGCTCACAAACCCCATAACCATTTTTCGATTAATCTAAGTGGTTACATGTAGTAGGCTTTACTGTGGACTCAAATCTATGAATGTTTGATGATATTATACACAATTCGACCGCAACAACATGGCCGCCTTGTTTCCGGTTTTCCTGTTGGGACAAGGGAAATCTAGAACATTATGGGATAGAGCGCCTTTGCTTTAAAAATTGATTACGTAATATCCGGGGCATGTAGCCTCGTTGTGATCATGAACACGTGATCACTATAAAGACCGGAGGCGCCTTTGTTTGGGTCTCTCATTTTCATTGGGCATTGTGCGTTATAGGTAGGTGGAGTGCTTTTTGCTACTGTATTAATGTCATTCTTTTTGGTTACTTGCAGTTCATGTACGACAGAGCGTATCGTGTTTTGTATTTTCCCCTCACACTAGATATTTACTGTACTTTTTATATACACGTATGATGGCCGCTTTTTCAACGCAGGTATGCGTCCCCGGGCAAATGAGGCGCCGAGACGCCATTTTATTCAGTTCTAAGCGTTGTTCGCTTGTTAAGGTACAGTTTCGCATGACAGAAGTCGATGCGCGGTTTTTGAAACCCTGTCGTTTTAAGCGTTAGCAACACATGCAGAGCTACGTTAGCTTGTGTTCAGCGTGTTGAGCGGTTCAATCCGGTTCGGTTGGTCATTCATTTTAAATCCGCCATTTTGTTTTGCCAGACTTGTAGGCCCCGTCTACGAGGGTGAACCGGCCTGTGGTGCTATGACCCTTTGATTAAGAATAGCATTATTTAGATGTTATTCGTACTTTGATGGGGGGAAATATACGCGAAATTATTTACTTTGCACTGAGCCGCTCACCTTTACTCTCCCTGAGCGTGTGGCCCGGGCTCAGGAGTAGTTGGTTTGGCGTACCTGTCCGGGCTGTACGTGCGTGGTGTTGTGGTGTTATCCTGCCGTGCTTCTCCCTCAAATTTCACATCAGCCCAGTCATACGCACGTGTTTTTTTATTATTTTTTTTTCTGGAGACTACAACCAGACGCAAATATGGCTGAGGCGGACCGTCCAGGGAAGCTCTTCATCGGTGGCCTGAATACCGAGACCAACGAGAAAGCCCTTGAACAGTACTTCAGCAAATACGGCCGAATTGTGGAAGGTAATTCTGCCAGGTGTACCTGAATATATATGTATTTGACTTGAATTCTTCAGTATGATTTACGTTGAAGGATTATTTTAGGTATAGATATCGGTTTTTTAGCAGTTGGGGGAATGGATGGTCTTCAAACTGTAAAGATGTCGAAGTTAGTCACATGGCGTGATTGGTTTAAAAGCTAGACAACGCTGCTTTTTGGTCATTTTCCGAGGTTTCGAGTTGCAAGCAATGATGAATGCTGAGTTTTTGAATAACGCTGAAAAAAACTTGTCCTCTAAGAAGTTCTGAGCTTGCTTGCGTGGGGATGTCTTGGCCTAGGAGCCCCTTGTAGCGGGCAGGGTGGTAAACTGCTTTTTCTCCCCCCCCTGTCACTGAAGTGCTCTTGATGAAGGATCGTGAAACAAACAAATCGAGGGGATTTGCGTTTGTGACGTTTGAGAGCCCGGCGGATGCGAAGGATGCTGCGAGGGAAATGAATGGAAAGGTAACCTGCCAGAGACTGGCCATCCTGAGTAATAACGCCAGACAGTCGGGTGTTTTCCCTTTATTAAGTTGTTGTGAATGCAGCCTTAGCACTTAGGGTGGGGAGTGTTTTACCCCAAGGGTTGAGAGGGGATGACATTCTTCATATAGCTAGCAAAATTGGTTGACCTCAAAGCTGAGCTTATTGTTGATAACCCCTTCCACCCACTTCATTCCAGTTTCCAACTGCTACTTTCAGGGAGGTGTTTTAGAGATGCCTGTAGTTAAGAGTGTCTACCATGAAATCCTTGGTTCTCTGTGCAGAACTTATTTATGCATTTAACATACCCGTTTCCTGGGCGAAGCTGTTGGCTTATGTGTCATGGCAGTGTAATATGGTCGGACTGAGATGTGTGTAATGTATTGTTACAGGTCAAGGGCTGTTTTGCATTTATTTTGTAGTTTCCACCCATTCGAGTGGACTAAAGTTTTATTTTCTTATGTAATGGGGTTTAAACGGGTGCCCTGGATGATGTCAAGGGAACAGCTTAATGACATCCCGGGATCTGTTAGATGGTATCTACTGGAGGGGCTGATGCTGGTCTCCCCTGGCCTAACCCGGTTTGTGATTGCACTTCTCTTCCGAGCAGCGGGGGGTGTTAAAGTGACCCTTGTCTTCCACCCACAGTCCCTTGATGGCAAGCCGATTAAAGTAGAGCAAGCCACCAAACCGTCCTTTGAGTCCGGGGGCCGGCGCGGCCCCCCGTCCCTCCACCCTAGGAGCCGCGGCCCGCCCAGGGGCCCCAGGGGATCCAGGGGTGGCCCCAGCGGAATGCGAGGCCCACCAACTCGAGGTACCTTGCGCCCCTTGGTTTGGGGGTGGGGAGGGGGGGCTGCATTTAAGTTCTCATGTAGGCTGTGATGGAACAATTGACTTTGATCAAATGAGCTGAAACAACTTGTTTGTCCTCTAAGAAGTTCTGAGCTTACAGGGCATGGTGGCTGGGGGGGGGCAGGATGTGGTTTTGGGGGTGTTGCCTTAACTGAAAGAACTAAGAGTTTTTAGATCCCTTTTTTAAGGGGATTTCATCCAGAGGCCCGCCGCCGATGAAGAGAGGACCCCCCCTGCGCAACGGGGGACCCCCACCGAAGAGATCCGCGCCGTCGGGACCAATGGGTTGGTGTGAGTTTGTTTTTGTGATGGAGGGTCATACGGGGTCTTGAACTGGTCCGCTGCTTTTGACAGGATCCGGTGGGTTGCGCGTGCTTGGCCGTGTGCGTGTCGGAACGCTACTTCTTCCTAAAGTGACGGCGCGTGCAAGACGTGAAAACAGCATTGATCTTGGGAAGCCTTGTTCCAGGTGTAGTCGGTATTTGTGGCAAAGGGCAGGCTGTGCTGGGGTTTATGTAATCTCTGACCCCTTGGATCATTACCGATTGGTGTAATCTTTTTTTCCCTTCAGCTCCCATGTCTCGGGAAAGAGACCCCTATGGCCCACCACCACCTCGCAGAGATGCCATGCTTTCCAGGAGAGATGATTATCCTTCTCCAAGGGATGATCATTACAGCACTAAAGACAGGTAAAGCTAGAAGATGCCTAAATTACTCTCGATTGTTTGTGTATGAGCTCAATTTTGTGGCTGGCTTTTACTAACGTGTGCTCTTTTCCCTCTAGCTATTCCAGTCGGGATTACATTAGTTCCAGGGATACGAGAGATTATGCTCCGCCCCCAAGGGATTATGCGTATCGGGAATATCCACACTCCAGCTCCCGTGATGAGTATGGGTCGATGTCACGTGGCTACAGGTATTGTTGCTTCAGCGCGGTTGTCAAGATTTCGTATGTGCTAAGGTTTCTGGCTTTCAGATAGACAAGTGCACTTTGAACTGACCAGTCTCTGTATTTTAAAGTGACCGTGACAGCTATGGTGGAGGACGTGAACCCAGGGGTTACCTAGATCGCCCAAGTGCTGGTTCCTACAGAGATCCTTATGATGGTTACGGTAAGACTATGTACTTTGTGGTGTCTGGGTACGCTGTCCTAGTAGGGAAGACGCCTGTTGTGCACGTTTAAGTTTCTTGTTGGCCTGGAGACAATGCGTCTGATGTCTCAAACTCCTCCAAGGGGAAAACCAGTGCAGAATGAATTGCAGACCCGAACAGAGCTCAATAAAGAGAGCCTCAGCAAATGCCCACTTCTACAAGGAACCTTGCACGGTGACCGATTTCTGGAAATGTAATTTATAAAGCGCCCGGTCCAAAAAAAAAAAGCAACCTCAAGAAATAAAGCCAAAAAAAAGTTGTCAGTCTCCTACGCTAAATTAAAGCTGGAGTTCATCAGAGGAAATCCCAAGCCGCTGCTCAAGGAAAAAAAAAAGTACACTGGCATGTTGCAGGGGTTTCGTCATTGTTGCAGTTCCCCCCACCACGAAAATCCCTAATTTGGGTATCTTGGATACAGTATAGGCAATCTGTGCCCCCATCCACCTGCCCCAGTCCAAAGTCTTATTTGCAAGTCAAAACAAAGCTATAGCTTTACCTGGGGGAGAGACAAGTGTTTAAAGTTTTGAGAAGTACACATTCCTTTCACGTTACACGAAAGGTCCGTTTTTAAAAGGAAAAAACAAGTTAAAATCAACTTGGTCCAGAATGGAGGTGTTAGGAAGGAGAAAACACACACACAAAAAAAAAAACCCACAACCAAAAAAAAAAAAACAAGACAAAAAAAAAACTTGCAGAAAATGTTTAAGTGATAAACTTGCCAATTACCTGACCCATTGACCCTGCAGGTAACTCGCGCAGCGCCCCGCCCTCAAGGGGGCCCCCACCCTCCTACGGTGGAAGTGGCGGAAGCAGTCGTTACGATGACTATGGCAGCAGTTCCAGGGACGGATATGGGAATCGCGACAGTTACCCCAGCAGCAGAAGCGACCCGTACTCCGCCAGCCGCGGAGAGCGACTTGGCAGGCAGGAGAGGGGGCCCGCGCCCCCGATTGAGAGAGGCTACCCTCCTCGGGAGACGTACAGCAGCTCGAGCCGCGGAGCGCCCAGGGGCGGCGGCCGGGGGGGGAGCCGTTCCGATAGAGGAATTGCCCGAAGCCGATACTAAAACGGACCACATGAATGACTTGCTTGTACAGGCCTACCGCTTTGCTCTCGGAGAGGAAAAAGAAAAATCAAAAATGGCGATTTGAACTTTGGTGGACAACAATAACGTTTATTTATTGTTGAGCTTTTTTTCTCCTCTCCCCTTCACTACCATAACTGTTCCGTTTGAGAAGAGTAAAGTGAAATGTTTAAATGAGTTTTATTTTATTTTCCCCCCCCCCCCCCCGCCCCTCTCCCCTTGATAGTGCAAGCCATTTTAAAAGTGATAAGTGTTCTGTTTTTGGTTTTTGTACACTAGTGCTGTTAAAACTTGCTGCAATTCCCTGGAATAACATGCCTTTTCATTTACTAATAAAGTTTTTATATCGACAATTGTGAGCGAAGCTCGTGGATGTTCCAAAGATCGATTAAGTGTATGCACAACTCTGCATTTGCCTTTCAAAGCTTTACTTCTGTTAAAGAAATTCCAACAGTCCGAAACCCAAAATACTGACCAAAATAAGAACTATTGGACCTTTTTACATATTAGCGAATGCTGTTATCTAGAATTTTGCTCCTGCAGTTTCATTAGTGGCCCTGTGGTCTCATTGCAAAAAAAAAAAAGGCAAATGTTACTGTTCCAAACTCTTTATCGGTGTAGTTTTCCTCAGTTTGAAAAGGATCCTTCACCATAATGAATAAACAATGGTGGCTTACTACGACCTTACCAAAGAGCCTGACAACCAAAACGCAACCGAATCTTTTCAACACTCAACAGATTTAAACAAGTTGCCTGTGACAACAGATGGTAAGCAAAGCAAACTTTTTCTTTCCCCCCTCGTCTAAATGAAGGGTTCAGTTCATTCACGTGAGTAGCCATCTCCGCAAAGGTTGGTGCTGTAAACTGCAACATCACTATTGAAAGTATCGCCTCAGCTCAACTCAAACCTTTGTAGGAAAAAATGCTGCAGAACGGCAAGCCCCGATACCCCAAGTCTTTTTAATTTAAAGACTAGTCCTTGAAAATGGTCATTGCAGAGCACCATATGAAATTTTTAACTGTATTTTCATCTTTTGGAATTTGCATTAAACCCTAAAGCCCAGAAAAGCTCAAAGGATTTGAGGCCTTTGTATAATGTAAAGGAGTCATTAGTTTTTGTAGTTTCTGCAAGTCTTCGTGCTTATAAATACAGAAATATCCATTTTGGGGAAAAAAGGAAATGAAACCTCTGATGGAATATCCTTACTTGGAACAAAACTGGAAATGATGGATCAAAAACAAATTGGATCGTAGCCTAAAACTGCTCAGAAGATGAGGACTTGAGCCTTTTTTTTTCATTTTTTTTAAATTTGCCCTACTTAATGTTATGCTGTCGTATTAATGTTGTCTTTTCATTACAGGATGAAAATTGCGGTTTGTGAATTAAGTGGAAAATTAAGTCATGGATTTCATTCATGAGTTGGGTGTTGGTCAGCAATGATCTCAAGAGTTGAAAGGTTAGTTTTCACAATCATTTTCTTAATTGGTGTTTGTGTACTGTTTTTAACCATTTACTTTAATAGACTTCAGAAAATTGTATGCAACAACTCCATGTAACTTGTTTTAATTCTGATTTCTAATCTTTGCTTGAAATTTACAGGTGACTGTTGGTTGATTACCAGACCTCTGTTGTGGTAATGGGACTGGCCTTGGGCAGCATCCTCAGAAGTTGAAGAGGAGTACTTGAGTTTTGGATAAGAGGGCAGTCTGGCTCTTATGTGATGGGGTGGGGTTTAAATCTGGGACTGTATTTCAATAAAAATTCACTGAAATTGACTTGTTTGCCTCAATGACTAAATTTACAATGGAACTAAAGGGTTTCTTGATTAGAGATTAAATTACAAGAATGTCTTTTGGTAAAGGGTTAGAATGCAGGATCTTCTCACAATGGGATAAATGGAAGGGAGTCTGTTAAGCTGGTATTTTAAATGCTTTTCATCCCAGAATGCTTCACATACAGGAAGTGAGCAACTGAAATGCAGCACACAAACACCTGCATCATGTCACTAGTTGCACTGCACAGCAGATCATGTCGAGTGGAAAAACATCCTTCACCAGTGAAGGAGGAACTTTAGGGAGGTGCAAACTGGGATTTCATTGGGGCACCATGTCTTATACCCCTACTTGTGCAAATGGTGCCATGGTTTCTCAACTTCAAGGCCCAGGTATAATGCTCTTGCAGTAGTTACTTAATGGTGGACTTGGCTGAAGGCAAATAAGGTGGCCTTATGTAAGGCAACCTTACATTACTTATGCAACAAATAAAGTTTAGCCTATTTTCATGTTGATTAAAGGCAGTTTTTTTAAATCATCCTTTTTTTCTTGCACAGCCTTTTTATGATGGCATGATCCACCCCCCCCCACCTACTGTCACACAGATACAGTGCATAATCAACCACATTTGTTTATTCATGTTGCATTGCGTGATTTAGTTAAGTTAAATGATTACAGCTTTATTTTAAGGGTTTGCTTTTTCTTGCCTTTCCATTTTTTTCTATCTTGGCACGTAACTTTAGTCTACTCGCTGAGCGTTTGAGGAGCTTGGATTCACAGAGCCCTTTTACGGTCGTTCCCAGATCGCATCGGGTTATTTTTAGGCTAAGAAGCGGATGCTGCTCCCGATTTTCCCTTTGCCAAAGGAAGCAAAAAAAAAAAATCGACTTTCAAGTAGCGATGTGATGAATTGAATGTGCAAGGATTGCACAGAGTGAAACCACTGCATCGTTTGCAGAAACGTGATAGGCTCGGGAAGTGGCACGCTCGCAAACGCTGCGAGGCGTCTGTAAAGAAACAAGGGAAGTTAAGTTCCCGTAGGAAAAATAATTTCCTGGCGACGGATTTCCCTCCCAGAGCCCAGACATAACGGGGGGACGAGCGATGGCTACAATGCAGCGGTAGTGCGCTCGGCGCTGCGATTTCAAGACGACAAAAGCAGAAGTGGATGATGATATCGCGGATGTGGGTTATATCTTGAGAACAAGCAGGGGCCGCTCTCGATACAGACTGCGGGGCGACTGCACATCCAGCCCTGGCGTGGCGATGAACCCAGAAGAGCAGACGGTGACCTGGCTCATCTCTTTGGGGGTGCTGAATTCGCCGAAGAAGAACATCGCGGACCCGGAGGAATTTCTGAAGGCGTCGTTGAGAGATGGGGCGGTTCTCTGCAGGCTCATGGAGAGGCTCCTGCCGGGCTCTGTGCAGAAGGTAATAATAAACCCAGCGGCGAGCGCGTCACGATTGCCCTCCTCGCTCGCACGGCGGGATGGCGGGATCATCCGCACGCCCGAGGAGTGCATTGCGCATCCTAGCTTCAATTCTTGCACGGCCGTTTCGCGGGTCGCAGATTAACCCCCCCCCAAAAAAAAAAAACATGTTAAAAGTACGAAGACAGAGGTGCGCATCATGGCAGGAAGTTTGCCAGTCAAGCCGTGTCAAAGCATCATCGCGCTTTTTGACAATGATGAATAAATATATATATATAGGGCTCTTGAGCTCAACAAATCTTTTCATTGCGCTTTAATATATAGTGTTAATGTGTATAATGATAACGTTGTTCTATCGTGCAGCTAAAAAAAAAATCCGAAGCTTCAGTTTCCCTACTTCCTGTAACTAGTCGACGGATTTTCCGCATTCAGAATGAACTATAGCATCTTGCGGTTGAATTCTGCGCCGACAGTTCTGTTTTCTACAACTAGATATAATATAAAATATCACCGCTCAGTCGCATCTCTGATATAAAAAGTCCTGACATGTTTTAAATACACGTGCCTCTCCGCAGCCCGATATCTGCACTCCTAGACTTTGTATTTCTCCTCGGCGGCTATTCCTAGTGCATATGGCATTCATCTTGTGAATTCCTTTTAAAATAAACCATCCTTTGTTGTAAAATACTGGCTGTAATTCGGTGCAGATCAACAAGCCTTCTCTGTTCCCAGTTCACGCTTATCGAGAAAGCATCGCTTGCGCGTACAAGGCCAGCGCTCCGTGTGGAGACGACAGAACGGGTTTCACTCGTTTGCGCTGCTGCAACTGTAGATTTTTTTTTAAAAAAAGATTGAAAAACTATGACAAAAACTTTTAGGACACGAAACTAGCACACAGATTGAAACAGCGATCTTAATAGCCCATGGATTGATATATTGTGCTCCTGTGTTTTTTTTTTTGGAGCCACTTTATTTACAATTCTCTACCTTGACACTGTCTCAAAGAAGAAGTGACACTTCAGGGTGACAGGGATATATATATACAAAGTTTTCAGTTAGAGTAGTTCAGGTGGGCAGCTGGATCAGCATGCATAGGCTGCAAAGGAACAAGTGATAGGTTTATTCCATGGTGAAAGAGAAGGGAGGCAGAGAGGGCACTCAGGCGGTGCAAAATGGAGAGAGGTGTTAGTACCTGCCTGTGCATAGAGAAGATTACACGAAAAAAAAAGTCTGTCATTGAGAGAAGGGGGAAGGTGTGAACCACGATTTCTGGACAATTTTCGTTTCTGATGTCTTTTTGCTATGGGAGTTGAAAGTTAGTTTTTCAGCTTGGAGTTGCCCCTCATCCAGGAGAATCAGTCCCCAAATCAGTGTTGTACCGCCATGAGGGGGTACCAAGGCGTTCTGATGGTCAAACAGCAAATGGCAAGACAACATTACCTTCCCTGAAAGAAGGCAGCTGTGGATCTCTGTGGAAGGCAGCTGGGTGTGGGGGAGAGGCCGGCCTCTCTGACAGGAATGGGCTGGGTGAACGGACGTCGGCCATGTGCTTTTGCAGCCCCTCAGAGACAATGGAAATACCTGGGGAAGCTGAAGGCACAACCGGCCAATGTGGACCACAGATGCGTAGGTTCTGGACAGGGGTTCGAAGCCATGTGCTGATCACTGGAGACCTGCATGTGGACCTTGTTGCAGGAGCCAGAAACTGCCCATCTTGGGACTCACGGACCTTGCATTCTTCCGAAGCCACAGGACACAGGGAATCTCCATCTCCAGATTCATAACCACCAATGATTTTTTGTTGTTGTTGTTGTTGTTGTTGTAAAACTACACAAGTCAGATTCAGCAGCTGTTGAAGACTCGGCTAAAGGCTACAACTCCTGTCCCGCACAGGAAGCAGGCCGGCTCGCAGACGCGCCCCCTCCGAACGCACCCACCTCCGTGGTGCCTTACGGAGGAGTCAGCGCTGATCTGAGGAGCATACCAGTCCCTGTCAGCGCCAGACAGGTCACAGGACCAGAAGACTCAGGCCGACTAATGCCAGGCCGTCCTGCCCATCAGAGTGTCCCCCTCAGACACTGCCAGTCTTGTGCCACCTAATGGAATATCCTGGTCACAGCTGGCGAATCACAGTCTGTGGACCACAGGGCAGCGGCTCTGCCGAGTCCAGCAGAGGGAGGCGATGAGGAGGGCGAGCTCTCGGTGCAGCCTGGAGCAGGAGAAGAGAGCCTTGTTGTTCTCGCTGAGGCGTCCTGGCCTGCAAAGCAGTTCTGTTGAGGAGATACGGCCCGAGCTGCCGGCTGGACACTTAGATTAGCGCGGGGCGACCTGACCCGAGTTCAGGCCCAGGAGCGGCATCGGGGACCTCAGCAAAGCAGAAGAAAGTGTGCAGAACGAGAACTAGCTCCTTTTCTTACTCGTGGCTAATTGATCCAAGAGCCTGAATCAGCAGTTCCTTAAAACATGCGATGGTGTCGGCCTCAGCATCGCAACCGGGACAGCTGGTTCCACCCTCCCTGGCTGCTTTCAAAACACAGCTGGAACAGAAATGGGATCATTTAGCTACTGACTATAACAGGCCAGAGGAGGCCAATGGCCTTATGTCGTTAAGGTTTGCCATTGTAAACCCCAAGTAAACTGGAATGTGATATTTCTCCAGTTTTCTAGGGCTTTACCACAATTACACCAGTCATCGCTAACTTGACTATCTTTGACTTGACTAAATTTCTCCTTGATTTTATACAGTGGTTCGTCACAGGCTACAGACGAATCGAATTAATAATAATAACACCTCTCTCTGCTTTTACTGTGAACACGGCTTTACCGTGGTAAACAACAAAAGACTAACAGGGGTATAGACAACTGAGCTGTAACTGTTGTTTATTATCATAATTGCACATTACGGGGCTGATATGAGTCACCAGATCACATTTTCACTGGCCAGTCAGTGAACCTGTTTATTCAAGGTATCATTAGAAAGAAAACTACATTGTTCTTTGTTCTTCTCTATTTAGGGACTTGATAAGAGCAATGGGCCTTTGTACAGTTTGAATAGTACCTGTGTTAAGTGTCTGCGGTCATAAACACTTATGAAACTTACTAATGCTTTAAGAAATGTGTAAATGTTGCCTTTAAATGTCTTGCTTTCTGTGACGTCGAATCTTTAAAGCCTAAATAATTATGTATAGGTTTGTACAGCGATAACAGAAAATCGTTCCTCGTCGTGAAACTGCACCTTGTGTCTTTTTCCTTTATATGGCAAGAACGGTAATATATAAACACACTAGAGTACATCAACAAACATCAACAGCTGCATCTTACAAAAAAAAAAGTTCAGATGAGGTAAATAGAGGTAACAACTGCACAAAGGCACACCTTTCAGATTCTGAGGTTTCGAAATAGGTCGGAGAGATTCCCTTACGTCTGTTTTAAACTGCTCAGCTGTGGGTCCCTTTCCCAGCGCCCCTCGGTGTTTTGTACACAGTGGCGACCCAGCGCAAACTGCACCCCGCGAGCGAGTGGCAGCGCGAGCCGGCTGAGGGCTTGTGTCGTCACTTCCTCTTTACGGCTGTCTTCCTGGTGACAGCTCCCCAGTGTGAGGGAGGCAGGCAGAGGGGGATCGATCGGCGCTCGCTTGCCCCAACTGCGCGGAAACTTAACACGCCTCCGTCCGGCTGCGGTGTAATGGACTCTTGCCTCCTGCCGTCGTGCTGTCGCGACCGGCTGCCGGGGGCCTTGCCAGTGACCTCTCACTGACTATACGGGTCGGCTAATGGTTTATTTTTTCGCAATTGCCGTTTTTTAGTACTGCCAGGAGCCGAGGACTGAAGCGGATTGCCTGGCCAACATCAGAGAGTTCTTAAAGGGATGTGCCTCGCTGAAGATTGAGGTACGTGGGGAGCAGAGGGGGGTGTCTAGGCGTGTACACTGTAATGCATGACCCGGCTGAGCTGAGTATCTCTTCATAAACCCGCTCAGCTACCTTTAGGTGTTTTTCGTGTTTTGTGGAGGCTGCAGTGTAACTGTTGTTTGTAGGTGTGTGAAATGGTTAACCCAAAATGACGCGATCCCTGCCCCCCATAACACACACACACACTCTGCGTTTCACCCTTGTCGTGTTTACAATTTTTGGACAATATCCGAGTTAAGTTCAGGTGGCATTTCCCGAACTGGGCGAATAGTTAAACGCTACCGCGACGTTGCAAGTCGGAGGTGGCGTGTGCCGTTTCTTTTTCTGGGGGGGATACTAAGCGTACATTTTGTAAGGTCTCTTTAATGCTGTTTAATTCATGAGACACTAATTGCATGCGAACCCCCCCGAGGGTATCTGGCAAGTAGTGTTGCTCGGAAAGATCGGCATCACGTTATTTGAATAACTCCGTACAACTGCATTAAGTCCTGCTGCAGTTAAAAAAAACAGCTACGGCAACGCCGGAATGGAAGTGACTGTTATCGCCTTCTCGTTTCTTCCTTGTGTTTTTATGTACCACGGTGATTAAATTCAAGCTCAGAAATAGCTCCGATTGGTATATTTATAGCAATTTGAGAACCTTCATTTGAGTTCTCAGTTGTGCTTTTTTCCCCCAAAAGGGTTTATTGTTCTTGCTGAATGGGTGCAACTCGGTTTGCTTTTTCGTGTCGGTGGGGAACATGGTATTTTGTCCGGTGCTATTTGCATACTCAACAGGTGCAGTGTTTTTGATCAGATAGAAACCCCATTTTTTTGCTGAAAGCAAGCCCTGGAAGTAACATTATTGTCTGAGAGGAAAAACTTACTGTGACTGGTGACTGGATCACCTGTGGGGGGGCTAACAATTTCTGTGCAGAATTCATTGTTTAGAGAGCAGTGGACATTTAGGGTTTTCTCCTCCACCCTGTGCTCTGACATCAGTGCTGCCCTTTGGAAGGCTTTTGTATATCTGTAATTTAAGACTGCATAATGACAGTCTCTGTCATACACAAAATAAAACTAAGTTTTTTTTTTAAATAAAAAATAAAACAAAGTAAACCATGCCAGTGAAACATCTTAGCCTTAGTACTCCTCAGTGGTGAGGAAAATAGAAAAGGCGTTAGCTAGGACTGAGGGCACATTTTCCCAGCAGGCCCTTGAGTGTCCGTCATGGGTACGTGTGATTTATTTATAATAAGGGTTTCTCTGCTAGTGGGATCTAAGCATTAGAGCTGTACTGCTTTGATGCCGTACAAGGACAAATGTTTTTCTTTTCAAAATCTTACAAAACAGCGCACACTCAGTGTGCTCTTGAAATTCCATGAAAGTTCTGCAGTCACCCCAGGGCGGCTCTGAACTCGTCCTTTGATCTGCAAGAGATGTTTGCCAGCCCCATGGCCTAGTTTCTTGTCGTCTTGTTAAGGACGGGGGGGAAAAAGAAGTCCATCTGAGAAACAAAAGGATTGTTTGTTATCTCTCAGCGCGCCACATCTTCATTCTCTTGTCAGCCGAGGGCTGGGAGATTTGGAAGCTCTGCTGTGTCGATGGATGTTTCCATTGCATCGGAGCTCAGTGACCTTGCTAATCAATCTCTGATCTGCTCTTTTAGATCTTCCCCAAGGGTGTCGTGCTATTGGGATATCATTTTGTTCTGTATTTCGTGTCAGAGTTGGGACTGTCTGTGTCCCAAGATACAGTTACTAGCAGGAGGTTGTTGAACTATTTAGCTGTAGTGGGACACACCTTGTGGCGATGAAGAGCTGGTGAATTCACTTGTCCCAGCCCTGGTGTGTTAAGGTTTCTACTTGTTTTTCTTATCGCCCCACATGTGACTCATGAAGTGCTGTCCAGAAACACGCTGTAACCCAGCACAAACACCTGGAGTCTGGTGTCTGCCCTGGGCCCCCGCCTATAATGTGAGCAATGTCAATGTGCTCAATGACCAGAGCAAAGACTTTTGGGATATGGGGTCCATAAACATGCTTTTCAGATTGCGTTTTGCCACAGGTTTTTTTGTTTGCAATATCGGAGTCATCTTTCTCTTTTTGGAAGGGGATCAAAGGGAGACATTTGCTTTTCTAATGAGGGCTTGCATAAGAGCAGGCATTCACGGTGATTGTAGCCAGAAAAACAAAACACCCTTTTTGCTGCAAAATCACGTCTCCTCAAAATCAGCCGCCAACCGAGATCCGTTGGAAACCGTGAAAGCAATGAAAGAGCTCTGCTTGATGTCTTCATCAGGGGAGTGATGTGTTCTTTCCCTCAGCAACTCCCTTTATCCGAAGATTTAAATCATGGTGTGTATATTTTTGGAACACCTTTAATTTTGCGAAAGAAATTGTTGCTGGGTTAATTTTGGAATAATTAGTGCATTTAGTGCTGCACCGCATGTGTGTGGGCTCCGTGTCTTTTATAAACATGACCAATCCCGTGCTTTCCTCTGGTCTCTACAGTTTATATGGACCTATATTTAACTTAATCTAAAGGAGCAAGGCATGCTGGCTTATTTTGTGAGCAGCCAGGGTAGCTGTTTAGCTTTCACTTCTGCAGGGAAGTTGAGAAAAGAGGAAGGAGCCGAGTATGGGAACCGCAGGGCCCATCTGCAGAGTGCGTCCTCAGCAAGCTCGTGTTTGCTTGAGCTGCAGGATCGAAAAGAAATGGCCCCCGCAAGGAGAAAAAGAGATTCGAAAGACTTTTTATGACTTTTTATGGTTTTAACGGGAGGGAGCAGCACAAGCTTTTCCCTTTTTTTTGCGCTGGGGTTCCTGCTAAACCTGTTGAGGAGCCCGGGGGGGGAGGCATGGAGATCAGAGAGCAGACCTCGGCCTGTTTGGCTGGCGAAGGGAACGAAAGAAAGTTCAGAAAGACAAGCCCTTATGAATAATTGAGGGCCTCACTTGACAGCGTCTTGTTGCCCTGAAAGCTCTTGGTGGGCCGGCAGCAGTTGGAACGCCTGCTGCAGGGATGCTGGGAGACGGGGCTGTTTCAGATGGGCTCATCCAGCTGTTTCTTGAAAGAAGACAGGGTTTCAGCTTCAACCTTGTGGCTGGGTAGGCAGTTCCATACTCCCACAACCCTCTGTGTAAAGGACTGATGGGGTCCTTGCTCCCCAGCCTTTCCTGTGGGCTCACGTCTTGAATCAGTCTTGTTGTGAAGTTCACACAGACCCACAGGACCTGCGACTGACACCTGCAGTTGCCACATCGTCTGTTGTTTCAATCATTATTTTATGCTCCCTTTTGTTTGCGCAATGGATGTCTTTACAGCTTAGTAATAGTTTTGAATGGATCGGCCGAATGAATTAATTATAACGGTAATATTAGGGGCCATTTGCCATGTGCTGCTGCAGATATGGAGGTCCCTTGGGAAGCAGGCATGTACTGTAAAATGTGAAACTCTACCTGTGACATGTAACCCAATACATTAGTGTTCTGTGCAGCCACACACTGGACTCTATTACATTGCGCGCTAAAGAGATTTATTCCAAGCACTATTTATTTATAAATATATTTATAATAATTTATAATAGAGATTTATTCCACGCACAGTGAACAATCGTTGACCTTGATTCTTCGAGGCTCCAGTTTTGTGCATTTGAGTGACGAACGTCCCATTCTGATCCTGATCCTTATCCTTCTAGTCATCGTAGTCCCACCCCAATCCACTTGTTTGTTTTAAGAGAAACACTTTAACGCATAGCACATGCATTCTTTTCCCCCCAGTGAATTCTCAACCCTGACTCTTTTCGTTGTTAGGGTTTCGAACCAGAAAGCCTGTATGCGGGGGAGAACTTTGGCAAGGTGCTGAATGTGCTGCTGGCGGTCAACATTGCCACCCAAGGTAAGGCAAGACCTTCTCCAGAGATGTCCTTCTCCTGTCCTCGTGTCAGTGCGCTTTGATTTTTCTGTTGTAGTACAGCTGCCATTTACTCTGCAACTGGGGTCTCTGAAGAATTCTGGGCAAGAATAGTTTAGCCAGTAATATCAGTAACGTCAAACTATTGTGTGCAAAACTCTTTTGTTTCCTCTCCAGCTGCCCTTACTGACTGACATGGCCCATGAAACTGCTTCTTTAATTCTGCAGTCTGCGTAACTTAAGTGTCTGGAAAGTGCTTGTTTGGGCTGTATCCTAGTGCTCTGCAGACATCAGCCTCATGGCTTAAAAATAGCCACAATCTAGTTTCTGCGAGGCTCGAATGCAATGCGATTTTAGCTGGATTTGTCCCAGAGCTTTCATGAATCACAAAGGTGTCCTTTATAGGCTGCTTGTTCAAAGCAGCCTCTGCCAGTTTAAGGCTGCCTGCCAGTTTAAAAAAAAAAGCCAAATTCAGATTCTAAGTGAAAACCAAATCTGTTCTGTATTCTTTGCATGTGTTTGTAGAGTTTCCTCTGTTAGGGAAGCATGGCTCATATAGCACAGTTCACACTTTTTCTTTTTGTGTGGGGCACAGTCAGGTGCAGCCAGGGGAAATATTTTGTCATAAAACATTCAAAGAGGCAAAGGGGAGCACACTTTGTAATCCGCGTGGTCCAAGAGCCACGATCCAAGTAACAGGTTTAGCACAACCTGTTGGGCACAGATTGAATTCTCCTGTGTAAAAGATTTTGATTGTAAGTCACATTTCATCCAATAGTCCACATATCGTTCAGAGGACGTAGAAGAAATTGCTCTGCTGCAGATCAACGCATTGTGTGTTTTCCGTGCCAAAACAATTGGATTTGACCAGGATTTCCCAAGTAAAGCTTCATAGTCGGATAATCACTGGTGGGCTTGGTTGGGCTTGAGTGGCACAGTGGCGCCCTCAGCCTGGTGTGCACACACGTGACCCCTGACGCGTCCTGAATGCGTGTGGAACTGCAGCAAGAGCTGCCTCGCTCCTCCGGTCAGCTGGAATCTGCAGCGTGGAAACATCACTGGAGACCCTTATCCTTGGTGTACGGGTCCGAAGGCTGGAGGACAAGGATGAGCTGCTGAACAATTAGCAGTTCAGGGCAGAAGTGCGGCGAAGTGGTCAGGGTTCTGGACCTCTAGCTGGTGGGGGATGTGGGTTCAAGTCGCAGGCGAGGTGCTGCCGATGGAGCCTCAGGAATGCTCCAGCAGGATACCCAGCTTTATACCTGGGTACATAAGTAGGGTGCTTTTGGATAACATTATCAGATAAATAATTTAGCAGTGGTAGTGAGTGATGCCAAGTGTGTGGTCAGAGTTCTTGATGTTTTCTGTATTGGTAGTGGTGGTTTAGACGTTACCGTCAAGGCGACCTTGGAATGGAAAGGTAAATGGGGAATTAAATGACATGGACATCTTCCGCTCGGAAGCTTTTATTGCGAGACTTGTGTTGTCCACTGGTGGTGAGGAATAGCTGGCTCTGACTGCTGTAAAGCTGCAAGCCTCGGAGATGAGGACAGCAAGTGTTCAAGCAGCAGCAGCAGCAGCTGTGCTGGAGTGCTCTTTCCACTGGCCGCTTCGCCGCAGGAGGTGGGAGGTGTGGGGGGTGAAAGCTGCTGTGTGATGAGCCTTAACCCTTAAAGCATTGAAGGTTAAACCCTTAATCGGGTTTTGTCTCAAATGGTTTTCTGCATCATACGTACCCTTGATACTTACTTACTTAATAATAATAATGTTTCTTTATTAGCCCTATACAATTTCTTGCATTAGGAATTCATCTTTTCACATACCCCAGCTTGCTCTCCATGAGACACACAGACAGGGAGAGAAGCTGGGGGTCAGAGCGCAGGGTCAGCCATTGTACAGCGCCCCTGGAGCAGCTGGGGTTAAGGGCCTTGCTCAGGGGCCCAACGGAGTAGGATTCCTCTGCCGGCCGCGGGATTTGAACCGGCAACCTTCCAGTCACAGGCGCAGATCCTGAGCCACAGAGCCAGATAGGAAATTAACTCCTCAGGCAAGTAAAGGACATAACACCATGCACAATACCTTTAACACAACACAAACCCATTAACAAATAAGTGACATGTATGATGAGAAAGAAAATACTTATATGAATGGAGTAAAATATAGAATCAGTTGTCAATATTAAGCAAGGTGATAACTGTGAGAATAAAAGATAACTTAGTTCAGCTCTATTTCAATCTAGGCAGTCTAAATCAATGCCCAGATGGAAAAATCTCAGATTCACTGTGCAGGGGGCGGTCATGACTGTCAGAGTTTGAATTGGCACTGCTTCTGCACTATTTGATGTCTAAAAGCCAATAAATTTGCTGGCTGCCTTCACAGTCCTGCTCAGTCAGTTTTTTTTATTGCATGTACTGTATCAACGTTGCCAAACCAGGCTACTTCAGTGAATTTAGGACGGAGTCAATGGATACATTGTATAGAATAAAGTCATAGTTGTAGTACACGTGTTAAAAGAATGGAATTTTCTATAGACACAATGTCATTTCTTTCATATTAGCAACGTTCAAGCCCTTTAAAAAGCTTAAGCTTAACCTCAGCTGACTGTGGCTTCATTCAGTGTCTGTACATGTCTGTACACATGCTCCAGGAAAGCTGCATTGTAACATCAGGCAGAGCCATTTGATTGCTTCTGGGAAAGTGATGCAGAGTTAAAACAACACAGGATCTCGGGGTTTGGCCTATATATGGCCAGAGAATAACATTACTGCTCACAGATGAAACGTTTTACTCATGTGCCACCTCACATTTATTACCTGTGTCTCAAAAACTAAAAACTGGGCCAAGCTGCGTATTCCGATTTCTGTGTTTTCCTTCTATTTCTTCATTTTTCTGCATAAGGATGTCAGGAATGTTAAAAAGGAGACAAGGCCCTCCAGCCAATCTAGCTCATTTTATAGTTAGTGGTTAATGAATCCACAGGGTCTTGAACGAAGCCAGGGCTTCAGCTTGAGCCACATGTCTGTGAAGCTTGTTCCATACTCCTGCCACCCTTTGGGTACAGTGCCTCCTTTTTTCGGGCCAGCACTGCAGATCTGAGCATCCGCATCAGGCTGGTCACATGGAGAGAGGGCAGTAAGCCTGCGCTTCACCCCTGCACAGGAATGACCAGGAAGCAGCGACCCCTGGAGTGCTGAGTTCTGCAGATGGCTCCTCTGTCCTCCTCGGCGTGTCCCCCAGTCTGTGTGCTTTTCCAGGCCTTGGGGGGGGTTGCTTGATGGCTGGCCCCTGTTGCAATTGCTTTGCCAGAGCTCTGTTGCCTCTGCCCTGGTCCCACTCGTTAACAGGACTCCGAGCCAGTCCAGCTGCACACATGGTCTTTATCAGAATCTTTATAAATAGCACAGGCCTTGCCTCCCACAGCTGCCTCTGGTCTACCAGCTGAGGAAAGGTGTAGCCCTGGAGTTTATATCTAGTAATGAAGTGACAGCTGGCTACATTACAGGAGTGAATAAAATACAGGGATGTTTGCATCGAGTCACACCCTGTCTGACCCTTTATTGTGTTACTGTGTTTCTCCCCCTTAGAAAGATTCATTTTTTTGCTACAGACATTTTAAAGTTATATGAATGACCTTTAAAGAATGCAGACGGCACCTTCTGTAGTAGCTCGGGGAATTTTTTTCCTGGTGTACTCTTGAGCTCCTCTGCTTTTATTTCCTGAAAGCCCGGAGATGATTTGACTTTTAAAAGCTGCAATACTGATTGTGTCATTTTCTTAGTCATTTCATACCACGCTGAGCACAGCAGCTCAGCTGTCTGATTTTCCCACATTATGCAGCATCACACATGCTGGGAGGCTTATTGTTGAGACCGTAAGAAAGGTTACAAATGAGAGGAAGCCTGTTCGTCTGCCTGGCTCACGTAGTTGCGAGTAGCTGAGTGATGCAAGGGCCTGATCCAGACGTTTCTTGCAAGAAGGCAGGGTGTCAGCTTCAACAGGTTCCCACAACCCTTGGGTTGTTGTTCTCTGCACTGATTCCAGAGCAGCAATGTCTTTATTGTAAAACAAATATTGAACGCTGTACTCTAAATGAGGAAATAGAAGGAAGATTTATTGGTCTTGATTACATGGTTCAGGTTTTTCACACTTTTTATGGATGGGCCCTACATTGGGAGTTACCCTTGTCGTGTTGCAGTGCAAACTGACTTCATTTGTCACACTGAACAGTTTTCAACAGCAGTATTGATTCCTGGCTCAGGAGAGCTCCGGGGCTCCCCTGCTATCATTGTACCCAGCTCCTTAATGATTCAGCTGAACCAGTTTTTCACTTAATTACAGACTTAAATGGACTAAATTACCAGTGTTTCTGGGTATTTTACTACGGCGGACATCAAGCTACCCGCAAACTCCTGCATGACTGCAATCCTCTAAAACCAGAGCTGAGTGTTGCTGATTTGCAGTGTGTTGTCTGCATTGGGGTCTTCAGGTTTTAACTGGTGGCAATGATTGTTTTTAAAAATGAGCAGCAGGAGATTGCCAGTACCTTAGTGTGGTATCGACGGTGATTTTCAGGTCACAAGATCCTGGAACAGGTAAAGACTCAGAGCCAGAACAGGCCGGCACATGTACGCAGACACTTGCAGCTCGTTCAGCGCCCTGCTGTGCAGTTTCGGGGGTTTTCCCTCAAGGGCACAATTCTGTTGAGTTAATCTCTCGTGTGAAGGGTTAGAGCAGTCTAGTGTAGGATTGGTCTGAGCAGCAGGAGGTCTGATGCAGGTATGGTGGAGCTCTTTTCTTTCGGCAGTCCACATGCGCCACGCATTTCATGTTCTGTGTTTGTCTGCTTCTAGGTAAGAGACTTCTAGTGAAGGAAAGCACTTAATCGGTGCAAAGCTTTCATGTAGTAGCGACTGTGCTATTGCAGCATTACCAAGTTCAGTTGTTTCAACAGTTGTTTTCTCCGTTTAGCCTCCAGTCTGTTCTTGTTGGCACATTATAAATGGTTACATGTTTGAGTAGGAGCTTCCCTTTTTTTCCAAAGGTAGCTTTCACATTTTCCTGTAGTCCTAAAATTGCTAATCCGCAATAAGATTTTAGGTTACCTGAATAGGCTGCACTATTCAAAGTTGTATATTTAACATATTATTATTTATAACTCAATCTCAAAGGTGATTAATAAATCAGTCTCAAAGTGCAATTAGATACAGATATATGCAACCCAATGAATAAAAAAAGACTTTAAAATCTTGTATACTAAGACCCTTAGATAAGACTATTACAGTGACTTGGTGCCAGTCTTTTTCCAACATGCACTAGATTGTCGAATACCTCAAAAATGTTTTAAAATCCTGTTGGCAGGGATTGGAGACAGGCTAGGGAGCAGGCAGTCATTTAACAAGAGCTCTGTGTGCAGAAATGCCAGACGGGGGTCTGAGAAACGGCGCTCATACCTTTACAGTAATCACGGTTGGTCTGTCACGCCTTCTCCTGCTGCTCCCTGGCCTGCATACGATGTGCTTGTTATTTACAGTCGTTCTTCTTGCCTGTCGACGGTTTTTAAGGAGTGTCCCCCAGTGATAGATGTTGACACAGATTAGCTGTGCAACGGCTGCGCATTAGTAAAGGAGGATTTTTTTTTTTTTTTAATCGCTGCTGTGATTCAAAGGATTGAAATGAGCCATCCTGGGCCGAAACAGGATGCGTGCAGCCTGGAGTGGTGGTGCTCATGGCGGTTATGAAATACTGGCCTTTTTGCAGCTTTCTTCCAAAGCAATTTACGTATTTATTTTACTTTCCCATTTTACCAGGTAAGTCAACTGCGAACGAATTCTCAGTAATGATAATGCCCTTGAGCCCCCTGTATACAGCAGGGCATTTACTTCAGAGCCCTCATCACTGCTCCACGCTGAAGAAAGGAAAGAGCGTAGTAGAGGAGCACAAACCGAGTGCTGTTTGTTTTTAATGAACTCGACATTATAGGAGTGATTTTGGTTTCTCTTTTGTGTATTGATGAATACTGCTGAAACTATTTCTGAGCATTAACAAATAGTGGAGGGCCCTGTTCAAGTGTCCTGCAGTTGTGCGATGTGAGACTAGATGAGCTGATTTTTTTTTCTGGTAAAGTATTAATTTCCCTACGAAGGACTCGAAGCTGGCTGAATTAAAGATGTCGGTGTTGCCTGCAGAGGGGAAAAAGGGAAGAGCATCTCTGAGCCAACCCCCCCCCCCCCCGAAAAAAAGAAAGAATTCTGACTGCTGCCCAAATTTCAAACACTTCTTGCTTTCCGATTTGCCTGACGGAAGCGGGACGTCCTCTCAGTGAGGGCGGCCAAGCGCCTTGGAGACTGTGCCGAAACGCAACACGAGTCGCACGGCTGCCGCTGCCCGGGCGCAGTTCGCCACCCTCTTCCACCAGGGCGGCGCTGCAGCCACGGCCCGAGAAGCGGCGCAGAAGGAGATCAAATAGAACCGCCCTCATGCCGGCAGGTAGTCTTTTTTTTTTTAAAGTGCATCGATAACCGAATTGCTCCCACCCCAACAGACCGAGTTGTAGAGAGGTCATGCCAGCAGCCCGGCTATCCAGCACCTAGCCAGTCTGCGAGCTCACTGAGTGCCTCCTCTTCCAGAACGACCAGGGCCCTGCGCAGGCAATCCAAGAACGTGGTAAGGAGACGCTGCCTCTTCTGGGGTCTTGGGTTGCGGTGTTTTTTTTTTTGCAAAGGCATGCAGGGATTAGGAAAGCCATATGCTTTTTTTATTCCCCAGTGCATGGAAACTTCTGAGGTCTGCAACTGCAGGGAACCCTGTAATCTTGCAGTGCTTTGTGATTGCTGGTTTGGATTGTAATGTCTTGATGTCTGTGGGCTGGACAGGGAGCCAGGGGCTTTGGAACTCCCCCCATAACCTCCCCCCCAACTCCACTAGATGTAATTACCCAAGTAGCTGGGGCAGAGGTGGTCAAGTAAAGCAGGGAATACTGGGATATACTTTGTGCATGCTTATTTGGTGTGTCAGTCTTACTTGGTAGCCAGGGTGGTGGGTTGTCTTTTTATGAATAAATGATAAAAACTGATTTTTACGTGGGGGGGGGGAGCTCAGCTCTTTCTCCCGTCTGAAATCTCCGGTTCCCTCCCTGCTTCCTCAGGAGATGACGGAGAATGGGGGCCAGCAGGTGGTGGTGGTGAAGGCGCGCTTCAACTTCAAGCAGAACAACGAGGACGAGCTGTCCTTCAGCAAGGGCGATGTCATCTGCGTGACGCGCATGGAGGAGGGCGGCTGGTGGGAGGGCACGCTCAACGGCAAGACGGGCTGGTTCCCCAGCAACTACGTCCGGGAGGTCAAGCCCTCAGGTGAGCAGCGGCCGTCTGCCCTGCGCTGGCCCCTGGGGCTAGTCCCGGAGTTCACCTGCGGCGCTGCTCTCCAGAGAGGGTCGGTCAGAGAGAAACCCTTGATTTCTCGCAAGCTGGTCAAGGCAGATGCATTCTGGGAATCAGGGTAACTGAGTAGCTGTGGTAGCTATAGGAAACACGAGGGGATGCCCAGCTCCAGTACTGGAGGGCCAGAAAATGACTCACCACCCACCTGAGCACTTAATTTCCTAATTGAAATCATTATTGACTTAATTGGCGAAGCAGACACCCCCTTCTGTTCTTGAAAAATCAGAGGTTTAAAGCCTGCTGGACAAGTGGCCCTTGAGGATCGGAATTAGTATTGTCGGAAAGTCTCCTGACTTTCTGGAATCGTCTAACGATCTGCTTTGGCCGTTGGCCCGTTGCCCCGTTGCCCCGGGAGGGTTTTCGCATATTTCTGTCCATGACTTAATATTGTTACAGATGGGAAGAAGAAAGGGGAGACGTGAGAGGAAAAAAAGAACATGGCGCGCACAGGCCACGAGGGCTGTCCAGTCCCAGTTCCTGGAGGCCGTGTGTCTCTGGGGGGTTTTCTAGGTCTCTTGAAAACAGCAGCACCCAGAGGGGTGAGAGGAGTTAGTAAATCCAGTCGGGTCCAGGTCAGGTCAGATTCGGGTCATTAAGGTCCGAGCTGCAAAGAAAACACGCAGACGCGCTGCAGGCCCTCTATGACCAGGACTAGGGACTGCTGATTTACACCGTTCTTTAATGGGTTTAAGTGGGTTTGTTTTTTCAGAATTCTTCAAAGTTGAAACCCTGAACCCCAGCTTTGAAGCCCTTTGGTTGTATTTAACCGTATCAGTTTGCCATCACCAGAAATGTGTCCTATTGCCGATAAGCCAAAGAGTGGTGCGCACTGTTGTCAGTTGTGTGCTGCGTTCAAGTCCTCATGTTACTGTCTTCCTTCCGTCTAGATAAACCTCTGTCTCCCAAAGCTGTGAAGGGCTTTGAAGTGCCACAGCTGACCAAGAACTATTACAGTGTGGTAAGTCTCCTGCAGCCCCCTGTAACAAACGACTCTAATTGTGGAAATCGGAGAAACTGAGAAAAAGTCCTCTTATTCTTTTCTCTCCCTTTCAGGTAGTGCAGGACATACTTGACAATGAACGGGAATTTTCTAAAGAGCTGCAGACGCTCCTGAGCTGCTACCTTCGGCCCTTGCAGTCCAGTGACAAGTAAGCAGTGCAGACTGGGGGGCAGGGGGGGCAGACTAGCGCTCACCTGTATTGGAAAGGCTCAAGTGGGAGAAGTTTAACCGGCATCAGTGTCTGCTTGTATCATACTGTTGCTTTTCATTTCCAGTTCATGATTTTTATGTGTAGTTCCTGTTGCTTGCAGGGCTGTCTTTCGCCTCCCAAGATAGTTGTGCGTGACAGTGCAGAGTCAAAAGACAATGAAACAGTCGGTATTTAAACCGATGGTTTGGAGAATGATAGGGGAGATGGTGGTGTGAAAGCCGTGAGCCTGGAGGGGGCTGGAGGGCCGTTTGAGAGGAACTTCCTGAAGACTCCTACACTTTCTTCTCGCGCTGTAGGCTGATGACAAGCGTTGTGCTTCTCTTTGAAGGCTGGCCCCTGCGGATAGCTCTTGCCTGCTGGGAAACCTGGAGGAGATCCTTGCCTTTCAGCATGGTCTTTGTGTTGCTTTGGAGGAATGCACAAAGTAAGTGTTTCAGAAGAGACGGTCATGTGCCTATTTTTATCTTAACTGGAAAGCTTGCAACCCCTAAATGGGAGAAGGGAGGTGTATCAAAATGGCTTCATTTAATAAGATTCAACTCGATGGGCCAAGTGCCTCCTGCTCGTTTCTTCTCATTCTACAGATTTCATTATTGTTGTTTAAGAAGCTGTAAAATGTGCAAGAGTTCATTAATAGTCCAAAAATTCAAGCAGCGCCACCTTGTGGTTAAAAGACGCAACCACCCCAAATTAACTTATTTAGCAATATATTCTCATGCCAGTAATATCATGTTTTTTTTTAGGGGGTGGGGCATACAACAAGATAACGGAAAAACAATATCTTCAGCATACAGATGCCAAAAATAAGAATCTAGTTAACGTGATAAACCATGCCCTGTTGCTGCACCTCTTCTTCCTAGATACGAACTTTAATTTTTAAATGAATGGCTGTGAAGCAGGTTCATTGTTTACTCAGCAACATTCTTCGCCGTTGCCCTGATCTTCACTCGTGTTCTCCTGCTGTTCTCTCTTATCTGTGGTAGGTTGCCGGAGGGTCAGCAGAGGCTGGGGGCCTGTTACCTGAACCTCATGTGTCAGATCAAGACGCTGTATCTAACCTACTGCTCCAACCACCCATCTGCTGTCTGCGTGCTCACCGACCATGGGTGAGCCTGCTCTGACCCCACAAACTCTCACAAGACAGCAGCACTAAAACGGGGCTTTCCGGGAAGTGGGCTTTCTACATGAGTGCAATGCAGGGCTTCATTAATTAATAATAATAATTATAATAATTGCTTACACTTATATAGCGCTTTTCTGGACACTCCACTCAAAGCGCTTTACAGGTAATGGGGACTCCCCTCCACCACCACCAATGTGCAGCATCCACCTGGATGATGCGACGGCAGCCATAGTGTGCCAGAACGCTCACCACACATCAGCTATCAGTGGGGAGGAGAGCAGAGTAATGTAGCCAATTCATAGAAGGGGATTATTAGGAGGCCATGATTGGTAAGGGCCTTACAGCAGGCTTCCTAATTATGTGATTGAACTATATTAGAATGAATTTAGAAATATTATTTCAGCTACTTTTATAGAATGGAAATGGCTCCTTATTGTAATTATCTGTACCTTTGGGAACAGCATGTAAGATTTTTGAACATTACTCTATCGCCACAATTAAGTGCTTTAAAGAGGGTGGTCAGAACTGGTTTGCTAAGTAAACCAGCATAAAACATTTTCGGTTCTCCCCAAACCAGATGGATCCAATTATAAAAACCACCTGTATCAGCTATGACCCCATTCTTGCCAGTCTTTAATTTCAGCTGGGTATGACAGACCTGTTTTTCAGTTTCCAGATGTATGCTTTATTTCTTGTGTTCCCAAAAATATTTCCTCTGTATCTGGCGAGATCTGAGAGTGAGGCCACTGCCTGAAGACACCTGAGGTTTTTGGAAGTTGCTCGTTGTCAGAAAAGCCCGCTAGATGTCGCTCTTGAAGCTCTTATTGGTTAGTGCCTCAGAGAGTGGAAAGGGTGCTGTGCTCAAGGTTCAGGCATGTGGCTTGTTTCTGAGAGCTCCCCTGCCTCACGCTGATGAGAAATGTGCTCTATTTCTGTCAAAGCTCCCCCTTCAGGGTGGTCGGTATCCGTTCACCTGAAAGATCATCGATTACACTTTGCCAAGGGCTTCCTGTCTTCCTGTGTATGTAGGGTTTTTTTTTTCAAAGCTGTCATTCGCTCATCAAAAGCTACCTCTTCATGTTATCATGAATCAGTGTTTGAGAGTGTGTAGCGTTTCAAGTGAAGAGAATACAGAGAAAATAGCACAGGAAGCTGTTCCTTAGTGAACAGGATGGTTTTGTTGTGGTTAAACTGATAATGCAGTAAGGTCATCTTTTCAAATGAAATTATGCTGAAGGAAGCGTACAAGCTTCTTTGTGTGTAATTGCACAACTTTGCCCTTTTCACAGGGGAGTTGAAAATACTTCTACACCAATACCTGTCTTTCGGACAGGAAAAAAATGTTAAAAGGCAGGTCAAATTTAAAACCGCAAAAAAACATTGTCCTTTTGACAGTCACTTCTGTGTGTCTTAACTTTATCTAGTGAACACGGAGCCAAAGGAGATTCACAAACACATTGGAAGTGTTTTCTAACTTCAGCACTTTGCAGATTTTGAGATTCCCATGCTGTTATTGTGCAGAAGACAGAGGAACAGTGCGGAGATCTGGAATCTCGCATGTTAAAGGCCACATGCTGAGTAGAGACAAAAGCAGTGACAGATTTAAGTAGCCCAGTCTTATCTTCACTTTTGCTTTATCAGTGAAACTGAAACACCATTTTAGTTGACATTACAAGTGATTATGCAAGTGCCTGCAACTGAGCACAAATGTCCTACTGTGCAGATGAAAATCGAGGCCCGCACAGTTGATCGAGTCTTGTAGCGCAAGAGAGGGCAGCTCGGCTGACCAGGTAACGTGGTTCATGGTGGCAGCGTTCCCCTTTTGCGGGGGGATGAGATGAGGCTGTTTCCGGAAGGAGTCAGCAGCGAGCGGTTTTTCTCCGGATATAACGCATGCTCCTCTGGGGGTTTCGGCGAGACGCAAAAAAACGCTGCTTGTTAACTTCGTTGCAAGTTGTGCTGGCTTGCCCTGTCCCCGTCACGGGGAATGTAACGAGGCCGTTTCGGAACAACACGCTGAGCCTCCCCTGTTCTTCAGAATTCGAAATGCCCCATTTGATCAGTTTCAGTGAGGTAAAAGGAAATTGATACCTTTTAGCTTCACTTTCGGCAGAAAATTACCGGTACTCAACTTGGGAAGCCGAGACCCAGAAACAAATCATTAAGGTCATGAAAACAAGTGCATCGCATGAGAAGCAATGAGTCAGCGACTTGAGTCAGTACTGGGAAGAGGTTCCTGGAAGCAGAGTACAATTTGTTGAAGGCAAACAACATGGGCCTGTGTCCCTTCCAGGTTGTGGGAAAATGGGGGGAAAAGTAGCTCTCCAGTTTTGGCAGGAAAGGTGGAGTAGTTGGGGCTTATATTACTGGGCAGAGGAATGCGTTTTTGGCTGTAGTGAATGAAGGAGAATTTCATTGTCAGTAGAAGGTAAGGCAGAGGATTGCTTTCCTATCAATTAGGAAGCATTTTTAAATTGTATGGCAGCACAGTGGGGCAGTGATTGGCATTGCTGTCGTGCAGCGCTCAAGCTCCGCGTTCAATTCCCGGGGTGCTGTCTGTGTGGAGTTTGCATGTTCTCCCTGTGTTAATGTGGGTTTCCTCCGATTTTCCGGGCAGGGAAAACTGGCCCTGGTGTGAGAGTGTGCGTCTGTGTGTGCTCTGCGGTGGAGAGGGTGTACCCGTGTCTTGCCAGGATAGGCTCCATCCCCCCTGCACCCCTGAATTGAAAGAACCGGCTGGGAAATGGATGATTTGCACTTTAGTGGATGTGATCCAGTTGGCTCTCCTCCTGACCGTCCCGTGTCCTTGCTCTCAGGGAGGAGCTGGACAAGTTCATGGAAGGCCAGGGAGCCAGCAGCCCAGGGATCCTCACCCTGACGACCAGCCTGAGCAAGCCCTTCATGCGGCTGGAGAAGTACCCCACCCTGCTGCAGGAGCTGGAGAGACACGTGGAGGTGAGCCCTTCGGGCTGGCCGGGGGCGAGGGCAGAGCCCCAGAGCAGAACTACAGTGGGCTTGACATTCCCGCGTATTACTCAACACTCAACACTCAAGTATCCTGATACTTCGACCAGCATAGGGTTTAAGGCTACAGTGTGCCCAGTCCTTTCCTTAAACTGTGCCCTTCTGCTTCTGATTGGGTCCAGTTCAGCAACGCAGATGTATCATTTTCATGTTAATGTAACCCTGTGGTTTGTTTCTCATCTCTTGTAGGAGTCCCATCCTGACTACAGTGACATCCTGAAAGCGATGCTGGCCTTTAAAAGCCTTGTGGTAAGGCCAGCTCTTCACTGCTGCAAATGCCAGTGTGGTGAAGTGTTTCGTGTTTTGCCATCCGTTGTGGTTTACATGTCTCCACACCTTCATTTCTGCAACGCCCAGGATTTGTTTTATTCAAATTCACATCTAGCAGCCTATGCCTAAAATAGCTTCTCGCTAGGTTTTTAAAAATAACTTTTTTTTTAAATAAATGTTTTTTGAGTCATTTGAGTGGAAAGTGGAGATGAATTTAGACCTGTTTTGTAAACGTTATTTTACAGGGGAGTTCATTCTGCTCAGTAGAGTACAGTTTGAATGCTAGCAGAGGAATGTTGACTTAAATAATTTCCCACATGGAAAAGGTACATAAGAAGTGAGTGGATGTGACCCTAACCTTCTTCTTCTTAAAAAAAAAAACCTACTACATTTGCAGTGAGTTTCCAAAAAGAGTGCACACATAACATTTTCATAAGATCACAAAGGGAAGACTGAGTCAGAGCTCTTAAGGAGGTTGCTTTCATTGGTGTCGAAAGAGTGGGTGTCTCTTCCCAAAGGTTAGCTTGCACATGCTGTTTGTACTGGATTTGCATACATTTAGTCTGCAGCCTTGAGTGGAAGGATGCAGTTGCTCTGTCAGACCTCACCACTGTTCGAAGGTTTGTAGAAACAATGGCACAGGGAATCCCCCCTTCCCCTTTTATCTCTGAACCTCTTGGTTCTCTGTGGGAGCCTCAGCGGCTGATGACTAATCACCTCGAGGTTGGCTGTGTGCAGAGGCAATTGTGGACTGTGTACAAGCTACAGCATTTGAATGGTAGCCGCGTCGTGCGATAAAGAGGTTCTCCTTGGGAGTTGTTGGTCTTGCCGGTTCGTCCTGGGTGATCAGCAGAGCCTCGGCTTGTCCTGATGCCCGCTGGCTGCTCTCTCTGCCTCGGTAGCCCAGAGTGGCACGGGCCCGCCCTTCGGCTTTCAGCTCTAAGCCTCTGGGACAGCCTGGCCTTCCAGCTGTCGCAGACCACTCATGCAGCAATCCAGAATTTCACTCGGCCTGCTGTCGGCCGTTCGGAAACTGAATGCATTTTAAGTGCCGCCCTCACAGCGGCTTAATGATGTTCCTGGCTTTGAAACAGCATATAAGTCACTTGCCTGCTTGGGATAGCGACTCCAGGGTGCAGTATCACAGAGTTTGTTCACAGAGTGTTAATATTTTGCTGCACTGCTGTATACTGCTTTTTTTGCATATAAATTTCACGTGCATGATAGTATTTAATTGTCATGCACGATTCTTTGGTTTTCAAGTCATTCATTGTCCTTAATCTCATTTGGCGGTTATTAAAATTGAGTTTGTACAATATAGAGAATCTGAAATTAGCATTCTGTATGTGCAGGCGGTGCCCCGGTGACCGGTGTATTTTTTCAGGGGGACGATTTCTTCTCTGAATCCGATCCCCCCCTCCCTGACTTCGCTTTGCTTGCGGGGGTCTGACCAGCTGGCCTGCTCTCTCCGCGCAGACGCAGTGCCAGGACCTGCGCAGGCGGAAGAACCTGGAGCTGCAGATCCTGTCGGAGCCGGTGCGGGGCTGGGAGGGAGACACCATGAAGGCGCTGGGTCCGGTGACCTACACCTCCCAGGTCATGGTGCAGAGCGGATCCAGCGAGGTAAAGCACCAACCCCAGATATAACCTTCACAGGGGCTCCCGAGTGGGGTGGTCCCTTCCTAGCACAGCACCGGGCCCTGAAGTCCAGACGGGGATGGTTCTGGCCTGAGCTGTGTCCTTACGTCACAGCGGTCAGCTTTGGTCACCCAGAGTTAGGTGCCCAAAGATTTTTTCCATGTGAATGATAATATTAGTATTAACTTATTCATAAAGCGCCTTTCCAAACCCAAAGACAGTGTACATCTTTAATAAAGAAAAAGTCAAGAAAAGTACAATAAGAATAAAAGGGGGGAAAAAAAACCCAAAGCATACAGGTTTTTACAAATTGACTATAGGCAACCAGACGTAGATCTTGGTAAAAAGGTCAGTTTTAAGTTTTGGTTTGAAGAGAGCCACGGAAGCTGTCTTTCGTAAAGTCTGAGGAAGGTCACTCCACAGCACTGGAGCGGTGACAGAGAGGGCACCAGATGTCCCTGATTTAGTCCTGGGGACAGTGAGGAGAGGACCGGCCTCAGCTGGACGGAGCCCACAGGGGCAGTGTGGACATGGAGGAGCTCAGAGATGTGTGATGGGGCCAGGTTGTTTCGAGTCTTGAAAGTCAGCATCAAGATCTCGTCTCGAATACGTGGCTTTTTAGGCAGCCAGTGTGGAGACCGAAGTGCAGCAGTGATGTGCTGCCAGGGGCTGGCGTGAGGAAGTAGACAAGCTGCAGAGTTCTGAACATATTGCACCTTGCTGAGGAGAGAGTTGGGGAGCCCATAGAGTAAAGAGTTGGAGAAACCAAGCCTCGATGGTGTAAATAAATACACGGATCAGGCACTCGGCATCGGACAAGGATAGAAATCGCCTAATGTGAGCAATATTTCTAAGGTGAGAGAAAGATGTCTTGATCGAATTTTTCACACGGGCTGAAAAGACAAGTGTGACTCCCAGACTGCTGGCTATTTCTGGCGCGTGACTGGGGAAGCCATCAGCCATTCCTGCGAAACCCTTGAGTTTACCCAGCTGAGTCTTGCTGCCAGCCAGTAGAGTTTTTGTTTTGTCACTGTTCAGCTTCAGGGAATTTCATGTCAACCAGAGTTTATGTTTGGGATTATTTATTTGCATCTTTGGTTGTTGTTTACATACAACAATCTGATAGTTTTAACTTTGTGTGTTTGTCGACAGGTTCAGAAAGCTGAGTTATATGGTCGGTCAGAATGCCCCCTCACGCCTTGCTACAGCATTTACAGCAGGGGGAGTTAAACACACCCCATCAGGCCTGCTTGTTCAGCCCATGTGGCAGTTCTGTTCAGAGCCAGTCAGCCGCCAGGACTCAGTTTGCGTCCTGTCTTGTCACAGCTGGAAGCACTGGCAGCCCGTTCTGCCTGAACTCATGTTCGAAAGCAGGAGATTGTTCAAGAATAACAATCACCATGTAAACAAGATCAACAGGGAAGCACCTTTACAGAGAGGAGCCTTTGATGCTGTGAAAATGCATAATTTAACGGGATGCAAAGCGAGGGGTGGGTGTACAAGCCTGCGTGTTCATTTTCGCCCTGTGCTGAACAAAATGTCCTGACAGTGTTATTTTCAGCAGAGCAGAGATTTATGTAGTTTTGAACATACATACAGTAATCACAACTGTCAACTCTCATATAAAATAATGAGTTCGTTTTGCTAATTAATGCAAAAGACAGTGAATATAGTGACTGCTAATTGCATTGTAAAGGGCAGTATATCCTAACACCTAAAACGTCTACAAAAAATCTGTAATAGTTGCGTCTAGTGTTTAAGTAATTATACTGTGTGTGGCCCACTTATAATCTTTTAAATCATAATAATGGAATTCAATCTGGCCTACCATAACTAATAAGTCTGACACCCCTGCTTTACAGATTTCATTGCTGTGGGCAGCAAAGTTTCGGTTACTTGAACCAAAATAAATGTTTTGGTAATAATGTGGTTATTTAATTATCGGGACCACAATGTAAGACAGCCTTTCACACCCTCTCGTTAAAAGAGGGGAAACTGTGAAAATAGACTGGAAAAACTCCGTCCCACCAGTTTCATTTAACTTTCTTAAGCACACGCCGCCCCTACCAAGGGGGTGTCAGAGGAAGAATAAGCCCCGTCAGGTGGGCATGGGAGAATGTGGCTCTTGCCCACCCTTGCACCGATCGGGGGGGGGATAAGAACGCCTAGGAAAATTTGGCATAGCTCTGCTTGTGTTTTTGTTGAAAATGCAGCGGCAGACGATGGCGCCTGTCAATGGAAATAGTGTTGCTCTTTCAGTTTAATATGTGCTGCCTGTTTTAATGGACTTGCTCACACAAGTGTGGGCGCCCACTTCCTGAACTCCGCAGGCTCACCCGTAAACAAGAAGAGCTTAAGGAATAATTAGTGGCTTCCGCGGGGCCTCGGAGAAGGAGTGCCGGTGTCGCTGTGCAATAGCTAGTGTCGCAGTGTCCCACCCCAAGCACAGGCTACATCTTTTACCAACATGATATTACAAGAAAGGAGGATGTTTAATAATAAATGCAAGATTCAAGAAGAAAGCCCCCACAAAGAGAAGTGCCCTTGATGCAGTGCATAAATCAAGTGCTCCTATTGCAAGGGGTGCTGTATATAGCTGCGTGTCTGTAACTGATGTAAAGTGCTTTTTGCTCCCTTTCACACTGAAGAAATTGGTGAACGTCTTGCTGTTTGTTTCCACTCCGGTCTCACCTGCGGCATGTTCAGATGAAGGGCCGGGCGGGCGAGACCCATTTGAGAGCGCTAGCCGGACGTGGCTGGAGGTGGACGGTGGCGAAAGCCGCGTGTTCAGGCGGGAGGTGGGGGTCTTGGGCAGCCGGGCTCTGGGGGCCTGTAAAAGGTGCCTCTGACCGCCTGCGGTTCTCTCGCGCAGGACAAGGAGGAGAGGTACTTCATGCTGTTTCCCGGGGTGATCGTGATGCTGTTGGCCAGCCCTCGCATGAGCGGATTCATCTACCAGGTGAGGGGCGGGTCCTCTGGGCCCCAGCGTTTGGCCCCTGAAAGGCCAGGCCGGTGCAAAGGCTGCGCACAGACAGAGGGCTCTTAGTGTGCCCCGGGGTGCACACTCGGGGAGGTAGCTGTCGAAGACGCCGTTTGAAGCGTGCGTCAGTCTCCCAGGCTTTGCTGTGTTTTATTCCATGAACTGCACTCCTGGATCTGTGCTGTAAGGTGTCTTTTCTCCCGATTCCCCTCCAGGGAAGGTTGCCGTTGACCGGATTGACAGTGGCCAAGCTGACGGAGGAAGCCGGCGATGCAGGGCACCATGCTTTTGAAATCACAGGTGATTTTTTTTTTTTTTTCCCCAGTTGGAATCCCCTCTTGATGTTTTCCTTTCTGATTGATAAACTGCACTGTGAGGGAAGAGGCGGGACTGTCTGACGGCATCGCCTGTTTCTTGGACCAGCCAGTGGAGTCACGCATGCCCTGGGTGTTGTGTTGACACACATCTCTCTGTCCTTGTGCTTTCAGGGAGCATGATCGAGCGCATTACAGTATATTGCGCCAACCAGTCAGAGCTGCAGGAGTGGCTGGAGCATTTGCACAGCTTCACAAAGGGAGGGAGCCCCGTGGGGACTATTGCAAAGGTAGGAGCACACAGCCTGTTACTGACAGTCCACAAGAGTGCCAACATGAGTGTCTTTTCTTTATTGCTGCTGTTCTCTGTTATTGTTACTATTATAAGTGTGAAGGGATGTGTATTGTATCATGTAATATTAAGTTGGTTCAAAGGGACCCCAGGTCAGACCGTAATGGGACAATTTTGAAGAAGAAAACTTGCTTGTGTTTGCGAACTAGAGCACCTGACGAGCATGTGAACACAGGGAAACCACATGGACACTGAACCCAGGATCGGGGTGTTGGTGCTATTTACCAGGCCACCTGATACTTTGAATTAAATCTATAAGATAACTTAATCCTCAAAAAATCAAATTGACATGAAGTAGTGGTCTTCTCTAGCATCTGTATGCATATGACATGTACTATTTCTAGAGCTTCCCTTGTTCATTTGCACCAGCCTGGAGCTGAGAACCAGACCACTGGCTGTGTAGTTTATGTGTGTATTAAATTGAAAGGTATGGGCTATTAAAGAGTGCTGGTCTTGCACAGGCCTTGTCCAATAGGTCTCACTGAATTGCTGGTGTAGTGATGCATGTTTGCTTCCAGATGAGGTTTTCAATTTTGAACATTTTCTTGTTTTAGAAGAACCCAGAGGGCAAATCCGGCCCTGCTCTTGGTACACCTTCCCACCAGACCTTGTCCCAGGGGTTCAGTGCTTCTGCCCCAAGCCGAGGACCCCTGGAACCCCCCAAAATCCCCAAGCCCTGGTCTCTGAGCTGCCTGCGGCCTGCGCCCCCTCTCAAGCCCTCTGCTGCCCTGGGCTATAAGGAGGTAGGTGTTTTCCAGGGCCTCGGCTGTTTTCTTTTGTAATGTGTGTGGGGAAAAAAACAACTGCCTTGTTTTTAAAGTGCTTAGCGTGGGTAGAATCGCACAGACCTTTGCTGTTGAACTTCAGTGGTCCCAGCCCAAATCAGACAGCCGCAATCTGAAAGCCCACGCTTGCGCTTTGTGGGAGTGCAGTCAGTCGCCTGTTCGCATTCCTTTCGTGGTCACGGTTGTGTTAAAACCTGCGTCGAGCTTCCACGGGCGGGTCCCTGCTCCTCCTGTGCCGCCGGACGGCCGCCCCCCACCCCCGTCAGGCGGCCAGAGCTGGTGGGGGGGGTCTCCCCTGGGGCTTGGCCCTCTTAAAGAGCGAGCAGCCTGGCCCCTTCCGCTCCGTAGCCATGCTTTTCTTCCTTCTTTTTTTTTTAAAGTATTTTCCTCCGGTGCACGTTCGAGCGTGTTCAGCTGCGCTCGTGCCGACGGCCCCGTGTGACGCGGCTCGCTCCAGCTGCCGGCGTGGGCAGGACCGGCAGGGCGCTCAAGAAAAAAACAGGGGAACTTATTACTTCACACCCCCAGCGGCTGCACACCTTCTGCAGTTGCAGATGTTATCAGTCCGTAATGAACGTGCAGCAGGCCGTGGCGCTGTGTTCCCTGCTTTTCCGCCCGAGCCGAAGGAGAGGAGTCCGGGCCAGGGCGGCGATGAAGCTGCGCAGCGGTCGGCTTCCTTTGTGCTCATCAGATTCCCATCCGTCTCCGTCTCTCCCTCCCTGTCGGGGCGGGATGAGCGGGGGCCGCGGGCCTGCATTAGGGATCTGTGGGGCGTTCACGGCTCCCTTTCGCCCTGGAAAAGGACGCGACTGGGTCGGCAGCGATCGGTGGCCGCGGACGGTGCTGGTGGCGCTGGGCGCCAGCGGGGTGGTGGGGGATCGGGGTGTCACGATGATGATGCTGTTTTAATTCACCAGCCTTTTTTTCTCTCACACCTCTTCTCTTTCTCTCCATCTTGGTTACTATAGAGGATGTCTTTTAACCCCAAGGTAAGGCTGGATCTGTATGTGTGCGCTTATCGTGCCGAAGGGTGTGTGACTGCTGCTCTGCCTGCTGTTTTTCTCTTCTTTAAGCCACTTCCTTTCCTGTTTCTTCCTCCTTGTCACTGTTGTCTCCTTTCTTTCACACGAGAACAGGCCCATCTCAGCACGTTCTGAGCATCGCCCTGAACTGCCCCTTAATTGTACTGAACAGTAATATTTAATAAAAAAAATACATGTAATAAAAATCCAGTTTAGACTAAAAGTCCAGTAAAAGTATATGAGTGCATTAGAAGCTTAAAGATTTTATCTTGTTTGTCTGTTTTCTGGCTTTTGTGTTAAGTATTTCTGCTTACTGTCTGCGCACATAGTGGGGGCCAAGTTTCTAACATTCTGTAAGAGTCTAAAGTAATGATTTTGCATCAGTTGTGCCCTTTGAATTGCTCAACATAGGATAGGTCACTGTGAAACATTTGGTCTTTTTCTTTTTTTGCAAGCTATTTTTGTGCTCATAAGGATCCTGGAGAGATGGTGTTTTTGTTCCCCCCATGGATCTGAGATTATATTATCGAGTAAATGCCAGTAGAGGCACTCGTTCACAGCACACACTGAGCCCTGCTGTCATGATATGGCCGGTGTTGGTATCAACAGCAGTATCAATAGAGCGTGACTGGTGCGCTTTCCAGTCACCTGTGCTCTTCTTCTTAACTCTCCCTTGGCGCTGCCGAACCTGCGGTATGAAACTTGTCAGATGGTGCCGTGTTACTCATACCGAAGGATAGTGGTGTCCTAGAAAGGTGATTGTAGTGGTTCTCAGACCCCGGCTGCTTCCAGACTTTGAGGGAAAAGCGGGTGATGGTTGTCATTTGGAACCGGCGATTCCAAAAGAAAGGAGAAGCCAAAGGGGAGGTTTGCTGGCAGGAGTCTGCATATGTGAGCATGACGTGGCCCAGTGAGTCCCTCCAGGGTAACCCCTGTGCCCTTCCATTGCACACAGTGACACAAGGCCCTTTCTCAAAGCGAGAAGACCCACCGTTACGTGGACTTCTTCAGTCATTAGTTAAATCATCATTTTTGACTTTTCAAATTTTGGTTAAAAGAGTTAACCCATAAAATGTAAGGTGTAGTTCTGTAGATTTACTGTGCCCTCGTAAGGCTCTGAAGGTTTTGCCAGAATGCTTTTTTTCTTTACGTTGTTCAGAGTGCAGCTGTCACTTCCCGAAGTCGCTTGCAGGGGCCCGTGCTTTGTTTTTATCAAGCCGTCTATCTGAGCAGCGCGTAACTGCTGCTTCCAGTAGATTTTCGCATACCTGCCTGTTACCCCAGTCCTCAGCAATCTGGATGTGTGACGTCTCCCCGTTTCTCCTTGTACTTTGGTTTGTGTCTGTGTACGATAACGGTGTAAGCATCCTGCAAGGCTAATGTCCACAGCTTGCTCTTGTGGTGCCCTGTGAGCTGGTTCATAAGTACCGGGATGTTGAAATGTGTTGAATGGGAATTATGTTTTACATAAAGAATTTACTTTAATGGTCTGAATCAAAGAATAATTTCAGGTAACAGTGAGCAGCTTGCTAGTTTCTTCTTAGCACAATCAAGAAAAACGGAATTTGGAGATGATGGTTTTTGCCATTATAGGTCTCCTGCTAAATTGACAGTGCTATATATTAATTGTGCTGTCCCTCCCGACCTGCAGAGTCTTGTGTGTCGTGAATAAAGCAATTAACCAGCTGCTCTCCAGGCCCAGTGAAAATTTTCCCTTGAATAGCACATTTCTCCTCCCTTCCTTATGCGCCGTTGTCCTCTGTTATTGTACGGATTGCTTTCTGTGCCCGGAAGATCGGTCTCTGCAAGTTACAATTTTTGATTTTTGTGGTCCCCAAAACACCTGATGGGTTGTGTTCAGAGGGGTTCTGAAGTGTTTTGAGTGTTGCCTGCCAGGACAGGGCATCAAGATGTCTTAGAATTCTCTAAGCATGTCCTGCAGCTCAGAAGCCATCTGATCTTGACTTGTTAGTCAGGATCGGTAGTGGGGCAGTGACGTGCTAACAGGTGTTTTTTGACCGGTGAGTGTGAAAGAAATGTGGGCAGTGTTTGCTAACGTGGAGCTATAATGGTTATGTCCACTGCTCTTTTATAAGTTGTGTAAAACAGGAATCCACTTCATTCAGTTCTGTGCTTCTCAGCACTTCCTAGTTATGTGAACAGATACAAGTTCGTGCAGAGATCATCGTAGAACAAAGAGAATATGTGCATGCTCTCTTTGCCTTGTAATTGAACTGGTGAAATTGTAGTTACTGAATTTCCTAAACCCAAACAGCAATCTGCAGCTGATCACTGATTGGGCATTATGCGTTTATGAAATATTTGATGCTGCAGGGCTCTGCACGATGAATGCTTTAATAGAGTAATTCCTATTGAAGAATTCCAAAAAAAAAAACCTCAGAGAGCAGTGTCAAACAGGTCCACAGGAGCAAATGCTGAGTACAACGGAACCCATCATATAAAGGTTTGTCGGGACTTGTGTGGGAGAACTTCAGAGCCTGCCTGCCTCGTCTGTTGAGTGTCGCTCATTAACTGTGCCGTCCAACCGAGCCGTGCCAGGGGCTGTGTCCGTGTCCGTGTCTCGTTGTTCGATAACACAGTCGCTCTGCATCGCCCTTCGTTCTCACCTGCCTCACAAACCGTTGTTCCCGCTCAGGACTCCAGCAAAAGCCCCAGAAACGTCAAGAAGTTTCTCCCGAAGCGGAAAACGGAAAGGAAGGCTTCCGATGAGGAGTTTCTGCTGCGGAAAAGTACGTTTCAAACTCGCCGTGCTTGCTCGTGAAGAGCTGCAGGGTGGTTCGTTTTCTGTGTGGACCTTGCATGTAGATTGCCAGAGAATGAAGTCATTGTGTTGTGTTCTCTGCATTTAAGGTGTTTGGTTTTTACTATTAGAAAAGTAGCAGATTGCCTTGCTGTTTGTGAATAATTGATTTCTCTTTGATATTTTATTGCAAATTCAGACTCTGCACGAGGATGTGTATCTTTTCATTTTCCCTCTTGCATTTCAGTACTGGAAAGGAATGCCTAAAGCAAAGCCTTTTTTCCTGTTCTGGTATATTGGCACGTTAGTTCAGTTTTACTTTTGAAGTCTGATTGTAGAATTAGTTGTTTTTTTTATGCACAGCTCCCTAAGCTGTGCACACAATCACGTTAAGGATTCTGTGTATGTTTTCTGTTAATCTGGTTACTCTTATTCGTTCCACTCTGTTTATTTCTATGTGAAGGAGTCAGTTAAGGGCAGCACTCTGTATGTATTGTATGCGTGTATGCATTGTCCTTCCTGATCACTTTGAGTCCCAAAGCTTTGTCGCATCGGAGAGGGTTAGTCGTTGTGCAGCCTGGCCCACGAACCTTTTTACCCGTCAAGCTTGTGGTTTTCGTCTGTTAGAAGGGCCGATGTGTGAAATCTGGCAGCTGCTGGTACTCCAGAAAGGAAAGTGAAATTTGATCATTTCTGGGAAGTGCCAGACCAAACCAGAAAAACACAACGTGGACGGAGACGGACAGAAAGCCAAGGCTGCGTTTTGGTGGCATGTCCCAGTGCTGTCCTCTAGTCTCCGGGACAGGATCAGAGGTGATCGCCCCATCCCTTCACTGCCTTTTCTTCCCTTGCCAGGTACGGCGGCCCTGGAGGAGGATGCTCAGATCCTGAAGGTCATCGAGGCGTACTGCACGGGGGCCAGCTTTCACCAAGGCAGTGGCTCGTGTAAGACCCCACCCCCAAGCGTGGATCGCAGGCTGCACATGTGCCTGTGCACGTAGTTCACTAGGAGTGCGTGTGGAAACTGTTCTGCATGCTGTATCGGGACACTGATTACCGGTGGTGCGGCTGAGTTTTCAATCCAGGGGCTCATACCTTCGCTCTCTGTTTAGAGTGTGACTCAAGCCGATACTGGCAACAATGCGGTTATTGTGGTATTCTGCATACAATTTAAAACTAGGGCATGTGCTACTCACTTCCTAGACCTGTACCTACATTACAGGGTCCTTGTATCATTATTCTATTGCATTGTGCTTTACCACATGAAAGAAAAGGAGCTGTAGAGGGGGGGAAATGTCTGCATTTAAAAAAGGAAATGCATATGTTGTAATTCTGGCCGGATGCTCTTTAGTACACAAACGCAGACTTTGATACTGCTTTTACAGATGAGAGTATCATTAGTGCAATAATGGTGTACCATCATCTAACCACCTGATCTTATTTATTCCTGTGGAAAGGCTTGACTCTGCAGCAAAGAAAGCCCTAGCACCTGAAAGGAGCGTTTCTAAGTAAACAGAAATGAGAAAAAAATAACTTTTCAGAATAGTGACGCATAAATAACGCCCACTCACGAATCCTCTTTATTCACAGTTTCTCGGAAAGAATCTGTTCCGCAGGTCCTCCTGCCAGAGGAGGAGAAAATAATCGTTGAAGAGACCAAGAGCAATGGGCAGACTGTCATCGAGGAAAAGTAAGGAGGCCGGTCTTGTTAATTTGTGTTTTTCCAGTTTGGCCTCGCAAATTATTCCTCTTCCACGCTTCTGGTCGCAGTAGTTACTCCCATAGCTTGGCAGTCTTCCAAGTTGCTTATTTTTACAGCTGTGGGGAATGGCTAGTGGACTATTAAAACTGGTTTTCCCAGGAGTTTTAAATGATGGAGGCTGAGGGGAGACACCCTTAAAAGTATAGAGCACTCGTAAGAATCTGTACTGACTAATCGGTGGGAAGCAATGAGACTCATTCACGTGGCAGAGTGGGCAGAGGAGTTCTTTACACCCAGCTCTTGTTGTGGCGTGTCACTTGCTGGTCCTTCCTGAATGGTAAAAACGAGTTTTGGCAAAATGCTAAGGGTCCGTGGAGACCAAATAAAACTCCCTCAGGTATGTCATTTGTTCTAAGCAACTTTATCCCAACAGCAAACACACTCGCAAAGTTGTTATAGGGTCAACCTTTGTTTTTGTCGCAGGGACTATATATGTTGTCCTGCTGGAATATTGTCACATCGGGATGAGCCGACAAGAAGAACAGCAGTATCCCAGTTCTAGATCAGTGTAACACTGTGCAGGCTCTCCATCAGTTTATCCACCTCGCACAACCGAAGCCTTCACTGACCTCGTAATAAGATTTTTGAGTTTTCAACATGTTGGATGTTTCCTTCTAGCTCATGCGCATGCAAAATAAAATAAAACCCCAAACTATTGAATGGAAGAAAAATCACTAGCAAATATTTCAGTCCCACAACTTGTTAGATCGGTCAAGGCTTCAGTAAGGTGTTTAAGACTTTCCTACCCAGACCATCACACTTGGACCTCCCCATCAGTCGTGGTGAGGTGCTGTGGCTCCCAGACAGGTGACAGACTGCGATTTGTCTGCAATCTCTTGTCAGGTCAGAAATTCCTGGCTGTGAACAGCCCAGATGGTGAGCACAGACATGCTGGTCCCATGGAAGTGGTGTTCTCTGCGTAACCAGGGCATATCCCCTCCTTTGGGTTTTCTTTCTCGATTTTCACCCAGGCTGATCGCCTCCTCGCACTCTGCATATGCAGCAGTCACGGTCATTCCAGTGCATCACAGTCATGGATGATCAATTACTTAAAATGAAACATTTAATCAATATCTAAAAACCTGTGTGCGTTATTTTTTTGTAAAAGCCGGCGTTCATAAATAGGTTGTTTTAGTTTTGTCTGAAGCTCAGAATCTTCAGCTCCTCTTGGTAAGGACAGCTGATTAATGGATTGCAATGGATAATAATCTGTTACTGTTTTCACACTCCAGTTAGGGATGGAGGCACGTTAGTGTCTGTCAGAGGACAGGCAGACCAGCTTTTTTTGCATGTATTCATTCCGCTGGGGGTCACCTCTATCTTGGCTGCATGCTCCGGGGGGCTTTCGGGGGGGCAATCTGACCTTTTTTTTTCTCTTTTGTAGAAGTCTTGTCGATGCTGTGTATGCTCTCAAGGACGAGGTCCATGAATTGAAGAAGGTAAAGTGATTTTGTAACCACTGTTCTTGGTTAAAATCTAGGAGTTTACTGGATAATTGTAAGAAGACCTGCTGTCTGATCCCTTTTCATGCAGAGCTGCTGAGGACTTAACAGATGCACTCAAAGTCCTTTTTATGTATCTGTCTTCATTTACTGTGGATTCGATACCATTAAGGGTCGTGACTTTCAGTCCTCCCCAGTCTGTTCACACGTAAACGTTAAAGAGAGAATTCTTTACAAAATACAACCTTTTAGGCAGGCATATACGTAGGCTGTATATTTAAAAGAAAAAAACCAGCAAAATCGCATTCTTAATGAGGGCATGTTGGAAGACAGCAATTCTTCATTAAAAGTAGATCACTGGGTCACAGAAAAAGGTCCTGGGCGCTGTATCTGTAAACAGGATTATTGTACTAGCCTGATGCGGGACGTTTCAAGAGTAAAGACCCCTCTTCCTGTGGGCCGGTGTTTCGGCAGGAGAATAAGCGGATGAAGCAGAGTCTGGAAGAGGAACAGAAGTCCCGGAAAGAGCTGGAGAGGCTTGTGTGGAAACTGGTGAAGCAGAAGAACGACTGCACCTGGGAGGACACCAGCCATTGACTGACCCCCGCCCCCCCCCACTCTCTCCGTCTGCTTGGCTCCTGAAGGCTGCTGGCCGTTTCCATGGAGTTGTGACTCCCAGACGAGCATTTCAGCGAAGTCAGACTGGAGGGGAAGACGGCTTTCTGCTGGATGTGGTCTCTGCATTAAAGCACCTCGTGTTTTTTTTGTTTCTGTTTTTTTCCTTTCTTCATTTTTGTTTTGGTTGGGGGGGGGGGGGGGGGGGGGGGGGGACGTAGGTGGCCGTAATGATATGAATAAGGAAAGTTAAGTTTTTTTGTTAAAAAAATGCTGAAAACAGGATTGCCATGCCTTTTAGGGGGGGGGAAAAAAGGAGGAGGTCTGGGAATCTTACTCGGACATGCCTACCAGGATACCTCACTGGGCTGTGCTGGAAATCTAGCCTTACGCTTCTTCGTTCGTCTTCCAGAAAGTGGATATTTTGGAAACCTTTCCTGCCTTGTTTACCTCTGTAATCGTTTGGCGGTGCCCCTGAGCAGCCCTGCACCCGAGAGAGAGAGGGTCAGGGCACGTGGAGCCCCCTGTCATTTGAGGTGGTCCCTCTGAAACTGACCTCCATCCCAATGGACAGCTGACCTCACTAGAGGACACGTATTAAAAGGCCACTTTAAAAAAAGCCATCTAAATCTCCTCTCCGTGCATGCAGTCTGTTTCAACAGGAGACCGTTAGTTTGAAGTTAGCCATGCAGTTTACATCGTGCATTCTGCGTCTCATGAAAGTCACCCTTTTGTTCTAATTTATTGTGGATTTTGACAGTGACATCCTTCAGTGTGGACTGGACAGGCATGTAGAGAAAACAGTGGAGAGTATATGTTGATGTATATTGAGGCAGAGGTTTATTGAGCAGTTCGTGGAGTTGGCATTATTGCTGCCTAAGGGGTCAGTCAATCAATTTAAAAGATCCCCAATCAAAGTACTGTAAGTACAGCCTCTTGAAGCTCTTCCTGTCAAATAACAGTACAGTGTCCCACCTTTCCAACTGTGTTCTGTAAGATTGTTTTACTAATAGATCTTCACTTATTCTTTTTTTTCCTAACAGTATAAAAAGTTGTCAGCTCTGCATGTATCTGTACAGTATTTTTAGAGTAATAGTTTTGTGATGAAAGTAAGACATCTGAAATATTTTTGCATTTCCTCTTAGCACCAAAAGTCATCAGGGATATTAGTCATTCACATATAAATGTATAAAGTCATTAAAACATGACTAGCAGGTATGTTTATTTTCTATGCAATAATAACTAATATTCCTTTTCAGTTTTGTTCCAAGATAAGAGAATATATTGCTTATTTATTTTTATTAGAATTATCAAAGTATTTACAAATACAATATATTTGGTACTCTGGGAAGCCCACTGGTTTGGGGTTGTTTTTAATTTTGTGGGTTTTCTGCCTTCAACAAACTCTTTTAAAAGACCTTTTAATCACAGCACAGATTAATTGACATCATTTAGCAGGATGCTTTTCCCCCCCTTAATATCAAAAACGGGCGTAGTTGCCAGATTGGAAAATCCACAAACTTCATTGTTTCACGTTCGGCTCTGTGGACATCGGCAGTAATGATCGTGCCTTTCGTGCAAGTAAAGACAACGTGTATGGAGGAGGAATTTAGACGGTCTCCATAGGACCTGCTTTCAGCTTATGGGCATTTTCGGGTATTTCTCTAAATTGATTTATTTCATCACAAATTCGGCTAACCGGAAATTTGGATTTTGTTGAGTTTGTTGCCACTTTTCTTGCCTATCCGTTCAATAAGAATAAGATATTTTTTTCCCTGATTCCTTCTCTTATGTTTTAGCTGTGGGACTAGAACGCTTAAAACACACAGCCTACCAGAATGTGACTGTGATGCCGTTTCAGATACAGCATCCTGGGGCACCAGTTCCAGGAGCCTTATCAGCCAGCACAGATCCGCAGGAGATGTGGGTAGCAGTTCAGTAGCTTATCGATTTGCACTTCCTGCTGGTGGTGGTTTTTTTTTTGCGGGCACACGTTTGGCAACCATTGAAAGCCGTTGGCTTCAGCTTTGCGCCAGAAGCACATGCATCGGTCATCGCGCTTCCTGTGAGGTCACTTACAGTACATCAGCCCTCTTTTCCTATAGCGCAGCACGTGGAGGAATTGGCTTGGTCTGCTACTACTTTGGAGCCCTCAGGTGTGCTGGGCCCTTGTCACTTCTGCGGACAGGACAGAGCACGCCAACGTTTTGCTAGGGCAGCACATAAGATTAAAATACCCCAGGGCTGATATTTTGGTGGTGGACAGCTCTGTTTTCAAAAGTGGGGATCTACTGGGATGTCTGTGACGTGTAGAGGCAGGTGTGTCTGCCCGGGGCAGTGCCACAGACTGGTGGCAAATTTTAGTTCGGAATACGCTCGACAAACACTGTGATAACATGGCCAAAAAGAAGAATGAAAAACAAAAATTAGAGACTTAAGACTTGTTTAGGTTTGCTGTGATGTTATAATTTTGATCTCCCGCCGGGCATCGATATTCAAACGTGGAAAGGCACCATTGCTATGCAGTAGGTGATCATTCTTTTATAAGCTATGCTTTGAAGTCTTTTGCCTTCGCTGGTATACGCAGAAAGCATCATCTTGTGAGTGTCGGGGAGGATGCTGGTCTGATTCCTAGTCAGAGTGAGGGCTTTGTGTGAAAACATGCATCCTGTAGTTTCGAATATTCTTTGCTTCACCTGTCTGCTGAGAAGCTGCACCGCTAAGACTAAGCCAAGCCCAGAACAGAATGATTCTGTCACCCTTACAACACCCAGTAATTAGACTGGGGGTGTGTCTACAGGGTAGACTTGGCATAAGGTTGAAGCTTATAGATTGCTCCTCATTCAGGTGTGGGTTGTAAAAGTGTGGCATCTGGCATTCCAGATTAGGAGGAAACCGTTTTGTGTTCTATTGTACACAAATACATGTTTTATGCAGGTTCAAAAAATGTTGTGTAAATGATAGCACACGTCTCTAGTTGGGGTTACTGTGCCTCAGTGACGGGTGTCATTCCAGACATTCAGTGGCAAGTCTCCATAATCTTGGGCCCTTGCATTTGAAGTCCATGGGAAGATCTGGGGAGTGCTGTTCAGTGCACATGCACACAGAAATTGCTCTGGGAGTTTGCTTTTTCTGAGCACCATCTTTGACGCGGATGCAATAATTTACTGTTACACTGTGAATCTTCTGTTGAGGTTGACCGCAACTTACTGTAAATTGTAAGACTCGTACCTCTGCTCTGCATAAGGAAGCTTCTCAGTCCATACATTGTTTACTTCTTTACTGTATCATGCCATCTAGACCTAATCAGAATCATTTACAATGGCAATCTGGTTGGAAAGGCTTGCAAATTGCAATTATGCATGGTCCCACCTTTATAGCTACATTGCTGCTAGTCTTTGAAATAAATAGTTCCTCTCCCTTCGAGACAGGTTTCCTTCTGCTGTTGACCGGAGATCTCAAACCCTGATACTGGAGAGCCCCATTCCTGCAGGTTTTATATTATATAGTTAGAGATGCTGTGTTCAATGACGTAATTTAGGGAGACCAGAGTTCTCCTCATTGAAACTTGCTTGATCGTTTGCTTATACAAGTTTTTCTTAGTCTTTAAAAAGAAATGTGTGATCTCTAAGAATAACTGGGTTGGGGGCTCTCCAGGACAAGGGTTGTGGGTCCCCCATTCTAGAGTATTGTAATCCTTTGAGGTTGTGAATTAACTAGGTTTGAATTCCAAACTGCCCCGTTTGAATTTACTGCAGTGTCTCCACCACTGTCCAGATGACAGCATGGAAGTGTGCAAACGCATTGAGTTTGTCTGGTCTTCAGTAGGGTCTGTTCCTCTCCATAGCACAGCTCTGTGCTTCGTGTGTGTTGGTGATGGAGGGAGGAGGGCGTCTGGGCTATAATGTGCTCATACAGGGATTGTGCTCCTCTGCAGTGCTACTATTGTGTATTGTATGCGAAGTTATTCTATGCAATTATTATAAATATTGTTTTTCTAACACCTGTTCCTACACTTGAGTAAGATATTCCTTTTAATAAAAAAATGTTTAAAAAGGTCATGTCTGGATTTCGGTTTGTGTGTTTTGTGCCTTGCTTTGAACTGTCACATTCTAACTGTATAATACTTGATCAATGTAATTGGCGTCATCTTTAGCGTCTGTTCTCATACCAGCGACGCACATATACAGGACCTGCTGCCTTCTTGAGTGGTGCTCGGAAAATAGAGTGCGCGCACTGGTGTAACCAGTACAGGTTTTCTCATGGACCAAAGACCTGGAATAGGACCTGGTGTAATGAGTGGATACATCTCACTAAGACTCGACTCGCAGTAAATAACATTTTGATACATAGTACTGTGCACTATGCATTCATGCACTTCATTGAGAGGTCAAAAGGGCACTGGGTCTGGAGCTCTTAGCATTTTGTGTCTTGTAGTGGAATATTACTCAGTCGTTATTTACAGTATGTTTCTCGGCTGCCAGCACATTTTTAGTTGTCGTTCATTACCCTCTGCAAAGTTGTGATGGTTTTTCCATCGCTTCATTCGCAGTCTCGCTGGCTAATAATGATTTCCGGTTTCCTGCGCACAGGTGCTTGCTAGGCCTGGGGCGAGACTAGCTCGCCGTTTCTTCCAGAGCGACAGTAGAAGACCCCGGAGGCCTGAGCCATTAGACCGCTCATTGCCGAAAAGACGAAAGCGGACTCCTGATTCAACTGTCACTCGAGTCGCGACGGTCCTGCTGAGCTGAAGTCAAAGTGCAGGAAATCCATGAGTCATTTACGACAACGAATGCAGCAGGAAAAAACAAATCTGACTTTTCTGCATTCCAGCTCGGTTTTATTGTAACTTTTGGTAATGCTTTAATTTAATATCCGGAAGCTTTTCGCCGTGCAGAAAACCGTTTGATGTGCGCGTCAATCGCTCAGTTTACACCAAAAACTGTTAGTTTAACGTTACTCTTCAGGTTGAGAAGAACGTCAACACATTTTTGAGGGGGGAATGTTTATAACGCGGTGGATGTCTTGTAGCTAACCTTCACACATCCTGTGTTAAACACCTCCACAAAGTAAAAACCGAGTTTGGCCCAAAGTCCAGAATTTGCAAACCCAACTGAAAACACGTTTACACGTTCCTTAGGCAAATTGTTCGAACG